GTAGTGATTTTCGTGCGTGGAACCGAGTCGTGTCTTCAGCATCGGCAAACTTTTCTGCTTCCGATTAATATTCCGTGGATCCTGCAGCTAAGGGGCTCTGATGCCTCCACCCGGTGGTTCCTGGACGAATATTCCTCGTTCTGAAGGCTACGTTCTTCGATTGTTGACTGGCCACACCACCAAGAGTCAGAGCCCGGCTCTGGATGTTTTTTTCGCCGATCCACGAATTCATTCCCGCAAGCGCTTAGTGTTCGGATTTATCCGAACACTCGTGATCGATTCCTATATGATTGGCCTGCGGAGTCCCGGCAATTCCCCAGTCGGCGAATCCGCTCATTGCCGTTCAAGGCTAGAGCGAGAGTTGACGAGTTTTCGCTGTCCGGAAGAAAGTTGACTTCTTGGTGGGGTCAACACAATGGCAAACCAAGTTTTTCAAGGGCAGTGAAGCTGTTAGCTAATGTCTGCTCTACATATTCCGGCTGGAACGAGCGAAACGAATTACCACCAAGTACGTAGTTTGCTGCTTGAGAAATCTCAAAGGAACGAGCTACATAGCTTAGCGACCAGACGTAAGACTAAACGTTCGAAGTGACAGGTCGCTGCGTAAACTGCCGTAGGCAGCTATTCATGGAGCTCGCTCGTGCTCCTCGGCTCGAGCGGATAGCACGAGACTTCGTGCAAGAAGTTCGTTGTGTGAGATCGCTCAAAAATAGATCCGACTACGGAAAATGTGCGCGCTGGGCTCGAATAAAGTGGATAGGAGCTCGATCCTTCGCCGGGAGGTCCTAATCGACCAGTCATCCGAAGATCATGATACCGATGCGTCCCGTACGACTCCGGTCGCCGGAACTTTTCGGCTGGCGACTTCTCGAGACTCATATCATTGGACTCGAATCCCACCGCTTCTACCATCGGAACGGTATCGAAGGGATTGCACGTCAAGATCACCTGTAATTTATAGCTCTCGTGGCACAACGCATCGGTGTGAAGGCCCATGTGAGAATTCTAAATAATACGAGAAATAAGATGCATCAACTGGAGGAGCTCTGTCACTCTCGAACCGTATCGTTTCCGTAGATTCGTGTCTGCTCCGAAGGCAAGCACTCCGGGTGCGGGAAAGGGCGAGTTCGGTTTCTCGACGTGAGGTGCCGATGTTAGTTGGCGATTCTTAGCCCCCGATAGTTTGGCATGAGAACGTGATTGAAAACCGAACAAAAACCCGTTTAGTTTTTTTCTTCACGCGGCGCCCTTATGTCCTTGAATTCCCATTTTGTTTTCACTGCTCGCTCAAATTGCCAACCCAGCGACCGAGCCAAGCGATAGACAGCCATGCAAACCGCTTCTGCAGCAGCGACCGCTATGTTAGGTGCTCGTGTTTCAACGCTCAGCGAGAACTAGACGATTGCCTGTCCGCCTGCCTGCTTGCCCGTCCTTTTCAGATTCAAATTGTTTCAAAATTTGTCGCTTCTCGGGAAACACTTCCCGCTTCGTCGTATATCTGCGGTTTCAGATCGTTTGCTCACCGCTTCAAATCGTCGCCGTTGCGAAACTCAATGAGACAATGACCAAATAGAAAATGAGGACCCGAGGGTAGATAAGCATGAAGGTACCTCACATCCCCTGTTACCTGCGATCGTTCCAAGATAATTATCCGGCACTATCACATGTGATGCCTTGGCTCATCGGTCTTCACCTCGCTCCCCCGATATATTTGGTTTCTCAAGCCTCTAATCGAGAAGGGAGAATTTCAGAGAAGTTCGGGGATACTCGATAACGGTGTGCCAAAAGATAATGCGAAAGAAAATTGAGAAACTCACGCTCGCTGGAAAACTCAGACGACTGCGTCGGGGAGGGAGAGTTCGAAACCGTCTGAAGTAGGAGAAGGAAACTATGGATGTTTTCATGAATCCGAATTCTCCATCTGCTCATGTCCGAGTCTCGCTTGCGCGTGCGTTCATTTAGAACGAAGAGAAATATAGTTCTGCAAAAATAAAACAAAAAAGTAGCCATGCAAATGATTACACGTCGGCGAGCCACACGTCTGGACGCGGGAGTGAAGTCTTGTTGTACGTAGAACGAAGATAATTTTTTTTGTGACCCTTACTGTTTTTGGTCGACCGAGCGGCGAAGCCGAGCGAGTGGCCGGCCGGCCAGCACTCGCTCGCCGGGACATGACCGACGTTCGGGCGCGGCTCATGAGACGTTGTCTCCGAAGGCCAGTACCGTGTCACCACGACTAGAATCGATTTTCCTCTCGCATCGGGCGTCGTCTCCGTATCAGGCTCCGTTTCTGCCCGAAAAACGGTTTCCAGCAATATTTCCTTACGTCATACTTGTTCAAAAACACTATTCGTTGAATTTCCAATCCACAATGGGAGGAAGGGATATCTCACTAGCTTAATAATAGATTTTTGGAGAATGAATCTGGGAAATCGTACCCGCGAGCCCTCTCTATCCGGGATGACTCGTGGGCCAGAATGCGCTTCCGCGAGGATTTCAGGGGCGAAAGTGGGGACTCGCGCGGATTCCGATACAGATTGTTGCGAGAACTTCTGGATTCGATGAATTGATTCCCATGTTAACGAGCAGGTGCCGCAGTCGCGTGCTTCGATTGGCAAGGCCGTTTTACGCTACACAAGTTTTATTCGTCGACGATCCTCGTTGTCGAGAGGCGAGACTCCTTATCACAACTACTGTTATCCTTCTCACGAGAATTGCTCAAATTTGGATGCCAGACCGCAGAATGAGACAAGTCGGGTGTTGAAACAGCCGCTCCCCATATCTGATCCTATGACTCACTGACTCTCACGAATCCGATATTGACATGGTATTGTCCGTTCGGAGCGTTACCTCCCTACTGCCTCAAAGAATCGCATTTCCCGAGAATTCGGTGCAGTTCCAGTGATTCAATTTTCTAATAATTTGTCTCAGGTAGTCGAACACCACTCGAGGAATGACATCGGAACCTCTCTGGCAGCGGGGACTTCTTCGGTATTTCACTGCTGCAGGGGAGCCCGTGAGAATTTTCGCATGGCTTCACCGATACGACGCGTGGAGAAATCACTGTATCCCTGAAAATCATCGGCATCATACAGGGATCAGCAGGCGTAACGTCGGCGCGTTCCCCGAATTCGGAGGAGCTTGACTAGAGAGCTCAGAGCGAGGCAAGGGAGTTCGTATCGTGACCGAGGGCTCTTGCTTCAATCTTTTGCTTCCCTCGAAAATCCTGATCGTGCGTCGATGCAATTGTCACAGCATTGTCAAGAACGATCGGTATTTCAAGTTACATAATGGGGGTTGGCATAAATCGTCCTGAAAGACGCGAAAACGTTGCACTGATGCGAACGCAGGTGCCCAGCCCAAGATTACGAACGGCGGGCGTCAATGATGCTCCCAGTCGGATGCTCGCCGGCTCCACATTCATTCGTTCGTTCTTCCGCGGACAAGTTGCCTTTCTTTCTTGGCTCTGTCTGACTATCGCTGCTGGCTCTTCTGCTCGCCGACATCGAATAGCTGGCGGGCTGCTCGCTCGGGAACAACACGAGCGGCAGCGACTCTCGTGAGCAGAAGCAAACAGTTTGAATCCGGAAGCGTCCAAAAAAGTAGACATTCGACTCAATCAAACGTGTCGCTTCTGTTTTCGGTTGCAGAATGACGCTCGAGTCATCGCGAGCATAACGATGCTGTAGATGATGAAATGCGTCGCGAGAGCTATGATTATGAGATGGGTTACGTCGACATGATTTACGCGACGCATGCCCTTCACGGGGGATGCCAAACCGTCATCGCATACGTCTTCCAAAAGCGGAACGTCGAACGCTTTCTATCGTGAGGCGTCTGGCGTCGACGTCACAATGACGCCAGCTACGGCAAACATCTCCGACGAAGAGCTGCGCATACGTTCATGACAGCTGCACTGATCTCGGGAGAAGCCCTATCAGAATCGGCGATGCCTCCTCCTTTGACGGAGCCGGAGTCGAAGCTTCGAAGTCGATTGCTCGTCATACGTATCTCACACGGGGAGTTTCTCATTCCTACTCCACCGAGAACAGATCTTGCGTTTAGTTATTCAACTCGATATAAAGACCTGCCTTCTTCTTCTTCCCTAAGAACTTATCTCCCTGTCAAGCTGCGATCCAGGAACTTCGACGAGGTCTGGAAACGTGATGCGCGGCAAGGAAGAAAAGAAAAAAAAAAACAGGGAAACTTCGTGAATGAGAACAAAGCGGATAAGATCCCGTTTGATTGATAGTTAACATTCTCCAAGGAACGCTCCCCGGAAACAGTCGCCTGACGCCAACTCCCAGCGATCTGTTTCGTTGCGTCGAGTGATCGGCTGCGATATTTCAATGGAGTGGACGAAAAGGGATAGCTTCACGCATGCTCTCGTCAGGCCGAAACGTAGACCGGGGAGGATTCTGCTAGAAACGAAGTGTTGATTCGATTCTACGACGAGGCTCGGACTCGCACGCGACAAAATTCAATTTATTCTCCTAATGTACTGAGACTCTGAGTCCTTCGCGCCGTCCATCGAATGCATTCTTGTTCCCCGGAAGAATTCACGGACTCTGTCTTCGGAGTCAAGAAACCCCTGGCTTTTGCTCTGACTCCACGGTCGATACCAGTGCTAGCGGTCGCAGGATCACGCAAAAGCGTGGAAGCAAGGCGAAGGAGCCTTAACTGCCTGAATTCATCGGTGTTGAACCGGCGAAGAATTACGCTCGTCTTCTGAAGACCCGCTTCATTTCACGGCATCACGAAGCCCAATATGTCGAACATAACACTTGTAGCATTCTTGTCGCAGATCATGAGAGTGATCTTTATTCGCATCGTTTTGTAATGCTGCTCTCGTGATCGACGGGAAAGGTCGGACGTGCCACAGAAAACTGATCACTGGCAGCGCGTTGATGACTGGGTGAAGGTCGAGCGAGAAAACACCCAAATTCAGCGCACATGATTTAGAATCTTTTTCATTTTGCGCTATTTCACCGGAATGGCATCCACGTTTCCCCGAAAACTCGGATCGATCATGCGGGGTCCACCTGACGCTCCCATGATTTCCTACAGACTCAGGAGTACTCATCTCGACTACTACTCTCTAGGGGGACACTCTCTAGGAAGACACAGAACTCTCTCTCTCAAGAAAGATTTTTTCTATTACAGAATATAAGCTACTGATGCTGCGTGCTTCCGATCGACAGTGAAAAGGTATCCCTATGAAACTCAGCACCCGAGCTGTGCGAGGGCTCGGTGCAGGATGCCTCGCCGTATTCGTCGCACATCTTGTCTCCATTTCCGTCGCGCCGGGTGAGTCAGCAGATTGCTGCGGAGAGAGTCCCGTCGATCAGGACATGTGTCGATCCCAGGCTTGGCCCGGTAGAGCTTCTTCTCGAAAGGGGCTCTAACGATTTCATTTATTTTAGCTCAAGTTGCAGCCGTATCAACCAGATCCTCCCAGAGGGAATCGAATGAAGCCTACGGGGTCGCCGAGGGTACTTCCAGACGTTTGGTGAGTCCGAATTATATTTTTCGCTCCGATATCCCCTTCGCAGCGCTCAGAATCTCAAAGCATCGGCGTCACCGATGTCGTATTCACGAAGTAGTAGACAGGCCTCTGGAGGCGAGGACGGCTGCGCACCTCAAGATGAGTGACATGCGCCGGACTGACAACGGTCCACGATCGGAAATCTCATTCCGAGCCATCACTCAAACTTTTTCTCGACGACGGGGCCTCCCGACATCGTTTTCTGACTCTCCATGCCAGAACGGCGGAGCTCGACACATTAAAATGTCTGACAATCGGGTCTCAAGCGGCATTCTATCCCGACGTCGATTTCTCTGTTCTCCGTAACCGGCCGCCAATGAAGCGGTAGCTCCTGTTCAGGGACCCAAACAGGCGAACAGTGAGGGTTTCGGCGGAGGCCGGGCGACCGGGATGAAGACAAGCCCCCCCAAAGTCCATTCTTTAGCATCAAGCACGGAAAATTTCCAGGGGGCATGGCCCCCTTACCCCTCTCCCTGTTTTCGCCTCTGATTCTGTCGGAGTGCGGCGATCAGCACAAATAGCCCCAGCGATCATTAATCTCGCTGAAAATGGAAAGATCGGAAAAATGGAAAGGCGAAATTCTTCTTCCAGCGGCGACAAATCGATGGCCGCATTCACGCTCGGCCTGGGTACAAGCTGATTCGAGTGAAAGCTCCGAATGGACGTCGGAGAACTACAACGACGACCACCACCCCCCCGCCGGACGACTACTATTACTATGAGGTGATTTTTCAATCATTCCGTAAGTGGAGCCACTCCGATCGAGAGTAGCGCATTCGAAATCTTCACTCCAAATCTTCTCCCGGTTTCTCACGGAGTGCAGTCGCTTCGGGACCGTCTCCACTCCCATAGCAGGGAAGCGCAGATGAAAGATCCTCCCACTTCTTTCGTTCCCCGGGAGATTTCCATGTCCAAAAACTTACCAGAAAGTTCGCACAGGTACCAGAAGACGAAGTTCCTGAAACGACGACGACGACCACGAGGAGGCCGGTGAGACAACGCCAAAGAATACGACAGCCCCAGAGAATCCAGGCACCGCCGCCGCCATCCAGGGGCCGTCAGCGAGTTCGGAGACCCCCCCAAGATTACTATGAATACAACGACGTTCCTTCCGTTGAGGAAGAAAGCGAGCCTTATGGCTACGCAACCCAGAAGCCCCGCTCTCATAGACCTGTACATTACGACGACGAAGAAGAAGATGAACGACCGCGGAAGAAGCCCACCACTTCGACTACAACAACAACCACGACGACGACCACCACTGTAGCCCCAAAACCTACCACGACGCTGTCTCCGGGCTACAAAACCAGACCCGACGGCCGAATCATTGACTACTTGGCTGACCCGAACTTCCCTCGTGAGCTCAACGGTGCGGACCTGACCGAATACCCCTTCTACATAAGCGTTCCCGACGATATAAAGTTCGATTGCGATACACACGGCGACGGTTTCTTCGCGTCTATCGAACACCACTGTCAGGTGAGAGACAGAGACCCTAGAAGTTCATCAAAGGCTTGAGCGAGTCCCACGCCCGATATTCATACCGCACATTGTTCATTGATCGATGAGGTCCATTTGATCTCGGAGAAAGCAAAAGCATCGGAGAAATCCACGACTACTTGATGAGTTTCGATTTTCCCGCAGCTCTTCCACTACTGCTTCGGCGGGTATCGCTATTCGTTCCTTTGTCCGAACTACACTGTCTACGATCAGACGACGTTTACGTGTCGATTTATAAACACGGTTCAATGCGATAAGTCGAAACACTACTACAAGCGAAACGACGCTCTCTTCAAAGAGAAGAGCACCACTTCGACGACCACAACCGTCGCACCGCCCACGGTCGCCGCCGATACGATTGCCAAAGAAGCAGCTAAAGCACTCAAACGAGCAAAACCAACAAAATCGAAGAGCACTACGACGACCACGGAAGTAAGTTAGTCGAGGACGATGGGAGGCCGCGAGCCCAGAGGGCTCGTCACGTACTGGGCAACTGGGCGTTCATTTTATTTTTGATGCACATGCGTTCAAATAGAGGCTCCAATAGGAACATTGTTAGAGCATGGGAACCAGACAAATCAGAATAAATTCTCGGCTTCCCCACAGGCACCCGAGGAAGAGTACGAGGAGTACGAGGAAGAGTACGAGGACGAGACGCCAAGCCCTGAGAGCTCGAACCCCAAGCCTTCGCTGTCGTCTTCGACGACGACGACGACAACGACTACCACCACGAGTACAACTTCGAGACCACCTCCCTTGTTAGCCGGACGGAAAGCGAGGTTGAATCGACTGAAGCTCCAGAAATCCAAGTCTTGATTACTGAGCTGAACATATGACTCATCGATATTCTTGAACGAGATATCTGCTCACGGTCTCACCCCAACGCAATGCGACATCATGCCCCACTCCCCAACCGCGGCCATTCGATAGGTAGCGAAGGAAGTCGCGAAATGCGACAACTCAGGCCCAGAGCTCCCGATTGCGTGATATTTATTTCCTTCTACATACCCTTTTATATACGATTTTTTTCATCAAGTGGAGAGTGAAGCTTGTTCTCAGCTCCAAGAATCTCCGCAGACCGTAAAAAGACAAACATGAACACGCAGCGAATCCACATAAATATAAAATCGTGATGACAATAAAATTTGTTCCGTGAAGTCCCCTCTTTATTCCTCTCTGGTATAATGAAGAACTCACAAATGGTAAGGGGCGGGAACTCAGAAGTCTCGGAGCGGGATCCAGCTTCCGGATTTCCCTTTGTTGTGAAAATGAAGCCAGTTGCCTGGATTAATCATCGACGACGAGAATGTCGACCCGAGTAGGTGGTCGATGAACAAGCCCCGGCTCTCTGTGCGTTCTCCTCCCGTTCAGAGGGGATCTGTCGATGCTGGACTCGCGAGAGATTTGTGCGTTGATGCCACCTGAGCGCAGGTGATCTGGTCATTAATTCCTCTCCTCGCGATCTCGAAGTACGCCGAGGGCCGATGTCAGCTCAATGGAATCTTCCGCCGGTGTCAGCTCAATTGTTGCTTCAGGGCTCGGTTCTCATCTCTGCGACTGAGTATATAGCGTCCGTCGGCAAAGGGAAACTTCCGAGGACCACCTGAAAGGATCGAATCTTACGTTTGACACATGTACAAGGAACAGAGGGGAAATGAAAGTCTAGGTTCGAATCACGGCCGTATGATTCGATAAAGATGGTTAGTGGAGAGAAAAGTCGGAAGATATTGAGGGGACCATACAATAGGAGACGAGTTTCCAGAAGATGTCAGTCTCCTCCCGTGATACATTAGTCGAAATTTTTATTGAGCTCCTGAATGCGAATCATTGAGGTTCCGAGGAGAACTGCATTGAAGAGCCCCGCAGTGTAGGCCTTCGACTCGTCCGTTCTAGCGCTCGCACGATCTGACCTGGAGTCATCGCGCATGCTGGGCGAGATCGGGAATTCGATCGACTCATCTTTAATCCTCCGTTACCATCGCTGCCAGGTACGATGAGGGCATTCTCCATCGGAATCCGGGAGCTTCCACATCGACCCGCGATGAGCGAATGATTCCCGCTCCCGGCTCATCGCAGCAGGCTTAGATGACGGGGGCTCACCTCTACATAGACGCGCATCGAGCATGAGGCCACCCTTCGTTCATTGATTGGAAGAAGCTGTCAGCTCACAATTTTCACTTTTATTCACTTCTTCCGAAGCCTTCCATATAACGAAGGATATTCTTTACATTAAACGATTACGACTTATCATGTTATGAGCGCCAGACTTATGACGTTATACACCCAATCGTCCGTGAATTGTTCAACAGCATGATTTTATCACACAAGACAGAGCTCTTCTCCCACGTTGAACTCGTTTCCTGATGTTGCCTAATTAGTACTCCTCCAATTCTTCTTCTTCCTCTGAGGGGACCTGTAACAATATTTCCAATTAGCATCCGGTTTTGAGGGCGGAATCTTCCTATATTTCCACAGAGAGCACGGGTTTGATTCAAATCAGCATTCCCTCGGAAAGCTAATCGAACTGGGCCTTCTACCTCACGATTAGCTTTCGAAAATCGGCAATGGAGGAAGTCTTTGCTACAGTATCTGATGTGGGCGTGGAACCTTCATGATTCCTCCCAACGAAGAGCAACCCAGCGAGAGGCTTTTCATTCTCGACTGATTGTGGGTGCAATCAAACGAACGCTACGCTCTGTTTCCTACATAAGGACCCTAATTTCAGGTTACCGCACGTACAAACGACTTTTCCTCGACCTTCGCCATCGGCACGGGAGCAGGGGTCGCAGGCGGTGAAGTTTCTGGAAGAAAGTTCCGATTATTCCACGGAAATTCAGCGGAAAAAGACTCCCGAGCTCTCGAGACTCTACATGTCAGAAATTCGAGCGGACAAGAGGACCTGGAGCTTCATACCTTGAGTATCCTGAGATGGTCTCCTGAAAGGAGCTTTGCCCACGATGAGAGGCTGAGTGCTCGATGTGGATTTCAGCAATTTCAGCCGGATTCCGCCACCTTTTTGACTAGTTGTCAAGGAGAACGATACGAAACTTTTTTATTCATCGAAACTCGAGTAGTACACAAAGTTCATTACTCAAGGGCTTCAGTTCATCGAATGGATTTCTTGGGGAAATGTCCACACACGGAAACAGGTCGAGAACGTATTTTCTACGAGAGCCCGCCACGATCGGTTGTCGATCATGCGTCGGTCGTTCATCGCATTTTTATTCAAGCCAAATTGGTAGATGGAGATATCCGGTGTCCGCGAACGATTCGACGAGGTTCGGGGGAAGTTTCCGGACCTAGCCGAGCCCCCATCGGAACTTAATCGCCGCGGATGCGGACTATCCGAGCAAATCTTGCACGCCATGTAATACGACGGGATCTTCCCTAGATTCGAAACGGGAAGCCCTAGGAGGAAAGTCGTCAGAAGCACTAACCTGCCTCCCAAGGATTTCGAGACCGTGGATTTCTTTGGTGATAGGATCGTGCGGATGCCAGCCGCGGAGAAAGTCTGGAATACAGAGTCGGATTCAGGAATGACCTTCGAGTACCACGGATTCTGACGGGGGCCACCTCGATGAACTCACGGTGTCGGGTTCCTTCTCAGCTTGAGTCGCCGGCCGAACCTTAGATGGGCTCTGATTTGATTCTTGTGACTCGGTGCGACTTTCGTTCTCTAGCAGTGCCGCTCTCCGCAGCTCTTCGAGAGCCGCCTTCATTGGCGACACCTTTTCTGGTTCCGACTCGACACCGGGCGGCTGTGACGGGGACTTAATCTGAGAAGCAGGCTGTAAAGGAAACGACTTTGATCCGAGTTGGTAAGCGGTCAGCAGATCGGGAGACTACCTGAAGAGCACGAGGAGACTCCTACGCCGATCCGGAAGATATAACGGATCACGATTGAAGACCGCGAGGGCGGGATTCGACTCGCACTGACTGCGCCGCGTACCTGTCGAGGAGCCGTCGCCACTGTCACTGTGTGGACAAGTATTTCTTTCTCGAGCTGTACACGTCTCTCGTAGAACGGGTTCAAACCGGTATATTCCTACGGAGTGAAAAGAATGGGTCAAGTACGGTATGGGTCAAAGATTCGCGATCTGGAGATTCGAAACCTCGGCAGGGGATGAGCGCTACCGGGGTTCGAGAAAGAGCGAGCCTCGGGAATCCAGGATCACCTTGTACTTCCGATTATGAGGCTCAGAGAGGACATGTTGCTCGGCTAGTTGGTTGTCCGGGAACATTGACTTGCAAAGTCGGCAAAAGAATCCATTGACCCCTATGAGGAACTGTGCGCCTGCGATCGGGAAAACAAGCTGTCAGGTAAGGGAGGCGAGCACAAAAACGTTTTTTTTTCGTTCGATTCATTGTACTCTCTCACCACAGACCTTTTGACGGTATTTTCGAGGGCGCGATTTTCGCGTGAGACACGTTTTTCTCGGGGGTGTCATGCGACGCCCACGGTCGCTCCGTCGTCTGCTTGGAATTCTAAGAAGAAAGGTCTCAAATTTTATCTCTCCCATGTGAAGGTACCATATGGCGCCGAAGAAGGAGAATAAGAAGAACTCACCAATATATGAGGATTGCTATGAAGATGGGAGAGAATTGCTGATATACTTTTGAACTCTTGTTTGCAGTAGGAGCAGAAATATTCGCCGCGATCGACGTATCTAACTGCTGGCGCATCGGTGGTGGCAGGAATCTTGGATCCTTCCCTCGAAGCAGCCGCAGCGGGGTTGATTTTATCCCGGAACACAGCTTCATGTTCCATGGCGAGGAGTTTTATTTTTTGAGGTATTTTGAATATTTCTTGGTTCAGGGATTCACTTTGCGTATGAACACTCTGTGCACGCTTCTTCGCCTCCTCGTAGAGCTTCGCAGCGTTGCTGAGCTGCCTCCCGAGCGTTGGGTCTTCAGGGAACTTCTTTCTCAGACACAGGAGATCCGCCTGAAGTTTGCTGATCCTGGACATCTCGGACTTCAACGCGACCAACTTTTCCCTGAAAAGTCAAGAACTTTGGAGATCCTGGGTCGCTGCACCGACTGGCGACGCCTTATTATTCTCTGACAAAAGCTCGAATCAGATAGAATCGCCGTAAAGGGGGAACCCTCACTTTTCGCCATCCTTCTTCTGCGTTAACCGCAAGTAACTCTTGATTTCCTCGGCGTATTTCTCTTCGGGTCTACCCGGAGCATCCGGGCATACGCTGTCATCCTCATCGATATCCATGTCCGATCCCGCCTCGATGCTTCCGGTCTTCACAGAATCGGGCTGGGCATCCGCCTTTTTCTTGCGATTCCGTTTTTTCTTCGCGTTACTATTACTGTTCACGATCGTCGGAATGTCGATAGAATTCTGGGGGACACCGCCACCCGTCAGAGTCCTCAGATTCGAACGATCTCTACCCGGTCCCGTCGACAACTGTCGAGACGGTAAAGTTTAGAAGACATTCAATCTATTACCTGTCTGTCTCAATCCTTGAAGGAGACCCAAGCACGATCGACGCGACGGTCGGATTGATCCACCGGGAATTCTCAGAGGATCCGTACAACATGCCGAATTCTAAACCCTCATATCCCTATACTCCCGGCTAGTCTGAGGATAGGTACTGCGCTACCACTTACATTTGCCATTGAGGTTTGCTTATTGGACTGTCCGCAACGATCTGCGAAGTCGTATGTGTTGGGACCTTTGGCACCGCCAGACTTCTGTGGTTCCGCTTGCGAGTGCCGTCCAGCTTCATACGGGGCGTTGTGGTGACCGTGTTGAGATTGTGGATTTTGAGGAACGCTGTGGACCTGTTGATCCGGGGGCTTGGGGTGGGAGTGTTGATTTTGCGGGAGGTTCGGAGGCTGCTGGGTGTGCGGCACGGTATGAAGCTGATGATTTGGGGGCTGGACGCTACCATGTTGATTCGGAGGTAAGTGATGATTGTTGGAGGATACGTTCTGCGAGTGCTGAGCCGATGCATTTTTCTGATGGCCGGGGGGCAAATTGAGGGGGAGTTGGCCGGGAGGCGAATTTCGTTGGTGTTGGCTGTGATGCAAGTTTAGGACATTTTGACCCGGGATTACATTGTGGGCATGTTGAAGCTGGGGCATCATGAGGGGGTGTTGGCCCAAGTGCGCATTGTGGGGATACTGATTTGGAAACTGGGAGAGGGGAACTTGCATCGATGGCACCATTAGAGGGAGCTGAGAGGGCGGTCCATTCGGTAGAAACTGATTCAGATGCACGTTGTGGGGCATATGAAGAGGATGGACATTGTGCGGACCACCGAACGGAGCATGAGCATTCCTGGGTGCAGAGTAATGCTCCGCCTGTTTCGCTCTGAGTAAAATGCTCTGCAGCTCGTTCGGATCGTTGAGGAAAGAAGGGAGGGGACGCGAACCGGTCGTTACTCCTGCTAACGGGTCTACGCCGGACGGTCCGGCGACCCCGGGTGGCGCGACCTGTGATTGTGCGGAAGGTGGGCGGACCTGCGGCCATGGAGCTTTGGGTCTTCGCTCGTAGGGACTCGGAGATCGCCGCCCATAAGGACTTCGAGACCTTCGACTGAATAGCTCCCTATTCAACGCAGCGTCTTGAATCCTCGGGTAGGAACTTTCAGGAGATTGTGGAGCGGGCTGATAATTATTCCGAAGATCGAATTCTCGTAACGAGCTTCCGGAACGAACGGATCCGGAGTTGTCGTCGGTTCTGTGGATAGAATGTCACGGATGTCTCGGACGATCGAATAATGGAATGGGGGGGAACTCGCGCATGCAAATACAGCTTTCTACCGTCAGTCGGAGCCCTCCGTTCCCGGTTGGAGCATCGATCAGTTATAATCAAATGAATGACGAAATCGAATGGAAATTATATAACTGTAAAATGAAAGTTGAAAGGAATACAATAAAAAGGGATTAGATGGATGAACCAAAATTTGAAAATGAGCCAATAATATAAGTAAGCGTTGGAAAAGATGAGATAGCGGAATCATGAAATGAATCAATGGATAAGAGAAATTAAATATCGTAGTTGGAGAATTAACAGATATTCACCTGGATAGACTTCTCTCCATGTAGCCGCCGGGGCGTATATTGCGGGCAGCCATTTCTTTTTCGAGAATCTCTCGCCGTAAGCGTTCTATTGATTCCTGCATGACTTGAAGTTCGGCGTCGCCTTCAGCATTCGGCCGAGTATGGCTGTTCAATGCCTCGGATCTCCTCGGGGAAATCGCCCCGAACCGAAGCTCATTATCGCTACCGAGACGACTACCTCCGGTGAAATCCTGTCTCGATCTATCAGACGCAGATCTGGAGTCGTATGCCTCGATACCCTGTAAGGAATGATCGATACGTCGACGCCCAAATTCACAATTTCGGGGCGAGAATAAATGACTTCGCCTCGCGGATGGGATCTCTGCGGCGCGGCGCCCTCATTCAGACGTACAGACATTCACACGCAGGGGAAATAGCACCGAGCAAAGACTCTATCCGATATCGAAGGACCCACCTGTGATTTGGGACCGTTGTTCGCGGAGGTCCTCGGAGGCCGCTCCAGATGAGATTCCTCTCGGTATTCGAATCTGTCGGGCAGCCCCGGGTGCGGCAAGCGCCTCTCGAACGGCTCCCTTCCGCGGGGGTTTTGCTCAGGTTCATACGTCCGAGAATAGCCCTCCTGCCTCGATTCTCGTTCATGGCGTTCTTCAGCGAGACGGAGACTTTCGCGCAAAGCGAGAATTTCCCTGTATCGATCTTCCGCAACTAAGGGTCGACTTGGAGACGAGCCGGGAACGCTTCTAGACATTGGATCCTGAGGGATTTCTGCGGGCACATCGGGATATATTGCATTCACCGGGGACAGCAACTTTGGAGACAGGGACCGATCCTTCCGCGGGGAACGAATCGGTCTGAAGGTCGGATTCAGGAAAACGTTCGACGCCGTGGGGCTCCGGACCCCGTCGTTGACGACGCCATCGTAGAGATCCTCTGTTCCAGACCCTGGAAAAACGGTTTTTCATTCCTATAGCTGAATAAGCTCATTCTCCCATGTGGCTGCTTGAATGATTCGATAATTTGACGTGGAGAAACCGGCTCGGCACCTACGCTCTGGTATGGGGTCTGGGCTGAGAGATTCGATCTTTGGCGATGGCGGTGTCTCGAAGCGGGACAGAGCCCCAGAGGAGAAGTTTCGATTTGGGTCAGGAGATTCTCTGCTCCGGGATCTTTCCCTGCTCGCCTGCGGCTCGAATCGCGATACCCTACCGTTCCTTCGGTAGCGACTCTGGTCTGGCGATCGACCGCGACTCACCGAACGCCTGAACCTCACGGGCGACCGCGCGGGCGACCTGTGGCCGTAGTTGGTCCTCCCGCCGGACCGCGATCGAAACCGCGGGCTTGCGCCTCGAGACCTCCCTCGCGACGTCGACCTGCCTCTGGATTGCGATCTGGACACAGAGCGAACTCTGGACCTCGATCGGTCTCTCCCCGTGGATTTAGATCTGTTCCTCCTCGGAGAGCGTGTCCTGGACCTGGACCTGGCGTTTTTCGACCGCGAACGTAAACGTTCCCGATTTCTCAGCTGAGATCGTGAGCGCTCGTATCGATTCTCTATCCGGTCTCTCATACGAACGGCACGCTGGAAGAATGGGAATCTGATCTTAGATTTCACTTCTCTCTCCATGAATGTGTCGATGGGTAATGGGTGCAGGAATTATGCGCGGCAGATGCACCTATAGGGCACCGGAGCCGCCTGATCTCTCTCTCGGCCCGGATGCCTGCGAAACCACCTGATGAGTGTCATATCGTCGACCATCTAACAGATAGGTGGCCCATGTTTCGAGTCACCGAGAGCACTGTCGGTCCCGTTCTTTCATCTTTGCCGTCTCTCTCATCGGCGAACGACCACGCACGGATAAAGGATAAATCGATGATAGAGAGAGGTTTCGACGATCTTCAACAAGAAACAGAATTCGATTCACCTGCACAGCCTCCGAGAGGTTGCTGGGGACATCGTGTTTGTCAGGTGACTCGCTCTGACGGGAGAATACGTCATTCCGAGCCGGACCCGGCGGACGTCTTTGATCTGCTCTGAAGTCAATGAATCCTCGACTCCTATGCATTTTGGGAATTTTTGTGCGAGTCGCAGCCACAACTTCTTCTATCTGGGTCGATGTTCCACTATTTAATCTCCGTGGTGGACAACAAGGAGATGGGATCTTCAGCGCATTCGCATTTCTGAACTCTCAGCGCCGGTCTTGTGCTGTCGTCTCTCGTTCCCTCGTTCGCTCGCCAGCCAGCAGCAGCACAGAGAACCACAACAGAGGACCCTGTTTTTATTTACTTCGCTACCGTCGACGGAAGGGGCGGAGCTTCCGCTTGAATTCTTGGCGCCACCAAAAGGCACTGCCTGCGTGGATGGTACAGCGATTGGGCACCGCAGCGATTCGTGAGAGCGGCGAGCGTCGATGAATGCATACATTGTATGTAGATCCGCTGCGGTGCCCCTCCCGGTTTCCCACTCTTGGGAGGACGGGCGACGCGGTGTCGAGCCGATCAGCATCGCGTCGGGGATGGCACAGCTCCCCACACGAGCCGGCACAGAAATATGGAGCCTGAGACTCGAGAATCAGATGACTACTGGAAGTCATCAGAGACCAGCACGAGCTTTAAAGGACAGGGTCCATAGAACAGATCAAGCCGGGGCCCGACACGTGTCTCATTGCGATCCCAGGATGGATAGTCGGATCACTTCGCGGCTCGCAGAGGTCATGGCTCCGCGAAGGAGCGGAACGCATCGATGTCCCCCATCAGCAGTTGCTCTGGTCAGGCGTTTCACCGGCGGCACTCCTTGCACCGAATAACGCGGCTCCAGAGAATTTTTGCCGTTCGAGCGCACCGAACAAACTTACCCCGAGTCCGGGTTTGGTCTTGTCGCTGTCATTGCGTCGAACATTGCCGTTCGGACTCCAGTGGAGCTTGAACTGACTAGGGAGCGCCATCCATCGCGAGGGAAAACTCGAGTAGAATGCACGCGACTCCGGATTCGAGGCTGACTCATGGTTCTGGTGCAGATATATGCACCAGGATGTCGGAATGTGCGGAGAAAGATTCGAAATATGCTTCCGAAAAATTGAGCCGCGAGCATAGGAAAAGTCAATCGAATGGCGGACATCGGTGTCTTCTCGGCGCGAATTCTGCAGAAGCCGCGCCGCTGCCCGAGCTCATTAAACACTCAAAACCTTGTCATTTCGATTCAAACGAGTGGCCTATCCCACATCCATGAGAGCTGTTCAATTTAAAAAGGCGACTTATTCAGCTACTCCGGAGAGAAGCCGCGGGATCGAAAGACCGCTTGCAAACAGATGGGGACCTCCTTTCGGAATTAATTTCCCTTCAGATACTTTCTTTACTCGGTTCTACGAGAGATTCCGGAGTATTTCGCATGATGCGTCCACATTTCCCAGCGGAAGCATTTTTAAGCGTATGGTCTCGAACGGATATCGCCGAAAGCTCTGCTTTTCGGGAGGTCAATCACTTGTCAAAAGACATTTCGAAGGCTGGAATTCGCCGTGGAGAGTCATCGGCAGTCAAACTTCCTGAGCTACGCCGCGCGTCATCCGATCTAGGATGATTTCCTAGCGAAGGACACAGAGATAACCGACCGATTCTCGAATGGTATCATCGCTGGCGGATCGAAGGACAGAGAACGCTGGCAGCAGAAGTCTAAATGGAAGCCATCGGTATTGATCGCCCTCTACTCGCGGTCACTTCGAGCAGGACACCGCCAGAATCTCGTGTCTGGCGGAGTCCCTCGATTGTCCCTTCGATTGGAGCGTTCGAAAAAAGGACGTGATCCCGCTCCCATGCTGTCGACTACGATTCGTCTCCACTGAAACCTGTGTCGGTCTTCCTCGCTGTCGTTGCTGAGTGCGTACGGGCTGTCGAGCATATGATCATATGGATTCTTAGTCTCCATGCGTGATCAGTACCGTCTGACCCCTTCGATTGAGAGTACGGGCTGCAGCAGCTTCGATACCGCGCGACGCGCGATGCCTTTCCTCAACGATATCCCCAACGACTTTCCCGTACCCAAGGCGTTCGCTCAGGTTCAAGGATCGATGGCAATGATGTATATCATGGATATGTGACAAATGAACTTCGCATTCGGAGTCCGGACTTCGTCAACGAGATCGAGCCTGTCGTATCTCGAAACTGGATAACCGGCGCCTGCTGAAATGGGCGAGGCGTGGAATCGGAATACCCGGCTCTATAGGTGAAACTGTCTTCTTTACCTGAAGCGCTGCGAGGATCTTCTCCAGGCTAGTCGACATGAGTCGAGCCTGCCGACAAGCCCCGTGCTCGACGACGGATGAGGCGAATCACTTCGTTCACCTCGCCATCTCGATGAAGGTCTCCTCAGGCCTCTGGCCCACTCTCACACCGCGACGGCACCCCAGGGAAACCTCACCATACATTCGGTCGCAGCGATCGCGAAAATTCTACAATGAATGCACGCAGGGAGTCACGGGCATTTCGGAAACCGATTCGCCACACAGCTTCGCAGAAAACCTTAACGGTCTCTCCCTCAGATCTCGGCGCCTACTCGTCCGGCGCCACAACGACAAAGTAAAGCTCGATAGTGTCCCGAAAAGTGCCTCCACAGATAGGCTGTTTTCTCGGATTTTCCGTCTCGAGTAAAGATGAATGTTGATGCAGAGGAGCGAACGCGAGACCTTATCACTCTTCGTCCAGTTCCAGGATCCATGGAGAGAATGATCGGCTTTCTTTACCGGCTACGGCCCAACCTTCGAGCGATTCGTCTGATCGCTGCTGCGTTCACTCCTTCGCGTTTTCCTCGGGAACAAAGAGGGCTCTCCTCGACATAAGGACAAATATGAGATATGAATTCTCCGGAAACGAGTATGCTTGCGAGAACTAGAGGAAATTCGAGGAGCATTCCGTTCACGACGATCGAAGTTCGAAATTTCGCGAACGAGCCGAGGAGATTTTCAGGTCATAAACACAAAACGAGCTGGCAAGCTTCAGAGCAGCGATTTCGTCAGCCGCAGAGTAATGAGTAGAGCTCGCGTACCTGAGGGCGAAACCGTGAGCGAAGAGATCCGCATACCAGGGAGAAATTGCCATTTCCCCAAATCTGTGACAATCACGCCAGGACGTATGTATATATGCCGAATACGGGGAAGATGTTCACTCGGGTGTGTCGTGAGGGGGAGGCCTCCACCGACATGGTCCTCACCAATGGGTAACGGATGATCCCCGTGGACTCCATCAGTCATCAGTCATCACAAATGAATTGAGGGGTAAGCGGCGCTCCTGGATACCTGGTTGGGCTGGTGGAGGGCAATGCTTAAAGAGACGAAACCTTGGGAATCGAAATCTATCCTACATTGTTTTCTGTCTGATGTATTTCGGAGGTTCAATTAGCTCGTCCGGCCCTGAAACGGAGGCTGTGTAGGGTCGGAATCTTTGGTCGTTTGGAATTTTACGCCGACCATGTGAATCCGGGCGGAAGGGGAGAATACGCAGAACACACCAGAAGGTCGGAATGGCAGATACAGAGCCCTCCCAGTTCATTTTAAGAGACATTATAATCATAGAAGATATTTTGTCATGTACGAGAAGCAAAACTATGGCCTCGAGATGTATCTCTCGAACCACTCAACACTCGAGATATACGCATCGCTTTCGTGCTTCACTTTTGACAGAGAGTGGTTGTCGTCGTACATCTTGCACTTTGTATCGACTCCTCTAGCTCGAAGGTGTTTAAAGAGTTGGATGCCCTGACCCTTATCCACACGTTGATCTTTCAAACCCAGGAAGAAGAAACACGGCGCCGTGATCTGGAACGGGAATCGAGCCTCAATCAGCTGCTACAGTGTATTTCCATTCACATTTCGTCTACGACATCTAATACGTAAAGTTCTTTCACCTTATGTGCGTGCGACATGGGACTGACGGACAATGCCTGGGCCAGATCGTTACGCGAAGGCAAACTGTCATGCTTGAATTTCCCTTCGCAGCCCGCTTCGTACCAGCACCAGTCGGGAATATCGGTCGGGCCCATCATTGACAACGAACAGACGGGATTCCGGAGAGCAGCCGCTTTGAACGCAGACGGGTATTGACCTTTTTTGACGAGAAGAAGAGATTCACGTCAGGAGATTCGCGTCAGGAGATCGCTCCGGAGTTGAGAATTAGAGAGCGTGGGGAATATGTGCGATCTCACGTCAGCCGCAGGCTCGGATTTTCTTATAGAGGTTCAACAGACCTACGAGATGCGCCGACAAGAATCCACCATGGCTTCCTCCGAACAGCACGGCAGTCGACTTGTAGCGTTCGTTGACAGCTGCCGCGGCTTGGAAGACATCCTTCACATCGACGTCACCAATGCGCCCCGGTAAGCTTCGGAGATTGACTTCTCCGAAACCTGAGAATCCGATGCTCTCTTAGAGCCCTTGACCCGAGGGCCTCGCTGATTGGAATTTGTTTCACAAGAATATTCTGCACACTCGCTCACCGACAGATCCTCTGTAATTCACAAACAGTACTCCGTATCCACAGTCGACGAAGAATTGCACCGTCTTCATGTAGCCGAGCGTGCTCACAGCATGCGGTCCGCCATGGGGGGAGACGATCAGCGGCAAGTTTTTGTCAACATTTCCGTAGATGTGGATAGCTTCAAAAAAGTGGTCCGGTGCGTCTGCGGGTCGCAACTGCGGAGCAAAAGAGACTCAGTACAGGGCGCGAGAGAAAAAACGTGGTACTCGATTTTCTCTCAGTCAGTGAAATCGCCCTCCGTGGTCCTGAGTGGCTTACTTTCATGAGTTCCCATTTGGTATTAGGTACGTCGATTGGGTCAGTGACCGTGAGCCAATCGATCGAGTCGCCTCCCACTTTTCCCACAATTACATGAGGCTTGATCGAAGGCGACGAGCGCGACGCCAGAACGTATCCATTGTGAATGTCGAAAAGCTGGAAAGGGTCTACGGATTATTCATCAGGCTTCACTGGAGGGCTATACCGATTGATATAAATCAATCCAGCTAGAGACGGATAGCCCGGAGAAGACGTCTCTCTGGAGAAAGTCTAGCTAGCAGAGTACTCACACTCCAAGCGCCGTATTCCTCGTCTGCGGTTTCGTTGACGACAGTGCCGAGTTCGAGATCGATTCTGAGAATGACCAACCTGGAGTGCCATATCGAGTTGAAGAGAAGTGTTTTACCGTCGTCAAGAATACATCTGTCCATCAACTTCGGCATGTACAGGCCGGGGAACTCGTTCTCTGCAAGACAAAGATTTTCAACCTCGACGACCTACCGGAGAAACGATTCTTCGGGAAGCATGACAGAATCATGGCGGAATTCGTGCGGGAAGAAACTCGACGGGTTGCGGAAACGCACCTTTTGGATTCGCAGGAATTTCCACGACAACGATGGGGTCTCTCTTGTCTGAAGCCCAATTGATTTTGAGAAGTTCGGCAGCCATTTGATGAGGTCCGCCGACTTCATTTTGGAGGAAGACGAGTGTTTTCCCTGATTGATCGAATCTGGGGCAGAAAGCGCATTTATCCGGCGCGGAGATACTCTCGAAGGTCTTGGACTTGATGTGGTAATAGAAGAGACTTTGGAGACGATTGTTGCAGAATATCGAGCCAAGCCTGTAAGGTGTGTTCAGCCGTTCGACACCGACGATGCCTGGAAACCACGACCGCAAACGCTCAGCCTCACAATTCGACTAAGCCGCGTTCTTCCAGTCCACTGTGCGGTGAACCGCAAGTATCCGACAGCAGAGTGGAGAGCTCATACGTGGCTGACGTACCTTCGCTATCCACAGTGAAGATTGCCTGCCCGAGACTATAATCGGACTTTTCAATTACTTGAGCCCGCATGTCTTCGATATTCAGGAGGACGATAACAGGACACGCGCTGCCTTCGAGTTGTTCACCCCAATCTCCCCTCCAGGAGAACAAGTCGCCTGAGAATATTCGGAAGCTCGGGAAACAATTCGCACACGGGAACGACCTCTCGACAGAAACAAATACCAAGACTTCAATCACTTCAATCACCGATAGCGCTCTCTGGAGGTGGTTTCCTCGTGAAGTAAGACTCGGGCTTCGGTTCCCTCTTCTCGGCAACAAACAAGAGCGTCTTGCCATCCGGAGACCATCTGACCGAGGGCATATCACCTGCGAATTATTGGAGAATGTATCTAAGCGAGAGCGGGTCCGCATGAGATGCGCTCAATATGAAGCTCTGAATGGTTAGTCCCAGGTGCTGTTGCTCACGAGATCCTGGAGCTTTCGGAATCGCCCAAAGACACCGAGCACCGAGCGCAAACGAGTTCGAATTCCTGACGCACCTTTCGCTAGAATTTTTCCATGGAGTGCGGCGAAATTACAGTCGTAAACGCCCAATCGAGTCTCCGCTCGCCAGATTTCGATGAATTCGGATTTCTTCTCGCCAACCATAACCTCTTTCGCCACCGCTCGCAATAGGCTGTCTGACTCGGCGTCTACTGAGAAGATTCTGTGAAAAGCATTCGGAAGCGGTCACCGGAGACGTACGAGGAGCCCGAGCTCAAACAATCTAGGACGCCGTGCGCGATAATCTTTCTGCGCCGCATCCTCCAAAAGGAAGGAGAGCGTAAGAAGATGCGGAGTTTGATAATTCCCCGGAGAATTTCTCCTGTCCCTCAGCCTCTCCTATGAATAGCGGTGTCAATCCGCGCTCTGCACAACAGTGGACGAGAGAGCAACACCTCCCAAACTAGACGTACGACTTCGTCGGAATGCTGGGTCATTTGAAGAACTCAGAGTAGTGCTCCTCCCCTTGAGCTGCGAGGTACCAGGGGCGGGGAAGAATATTGCGGAGATCAACAGTTCCAAGCAAGCGGATAGTCGCCCTCCGGGAACCAGTGCCTGGTCGATATCATCGGGTATCCATCAGATATCCTATTCCATATTATCAAAAGCCCTCTTCCTCCGGTTCGATGTTCCCTACCGATATGATGTTTATTTCAGATGGCGAATCCTGAACACTGTTCCCGATTGCGACGGAATACTGACCCACCGTGCAAACTTCAATCGAGCTTCGAGCTCCTGCGCATCGAGCACGAGCATTGCAGTCATAGAATGTATCCCCTCTCGACGCTGTCTCGAGGGCGGGAATCGCGAGGCGGTTCTCGGTTCCCCGTGTCGAGGAGAGGAGGAGTTCGAAACTTCCGCTCCCCGAGGCCGCGAATTCCTCTCATTCGAACGAGACTCCCAGAAGGTCGATAATAATCATCGGACTCACATGCTTTCGTTGACTTCTTTGGCCGGTTGAATCATATTGAAGGACGGTTTCGGGCCTCCACCGAAAGCTATCGATATGGTTTCGTAGGTAACCCGCTTTTCCATGTCCACATCGGTTAAAGTCCATCTTGTCGTCACTTTGATTTGCGTTGGATCAACTTTAATTTTTCCTTCGGTGGGGGTCGGCTCTCCATCATTCTTCCGATAGAGTCCCACCAATTCCTCAATGCGCTAAAGGACCAAAAAGGAGGAAGTCGAATATCACCCTTCATATGTAAATTGATAAGAGACTCCCGATCCTAGTTGAGACACTGACGCGAAGCCGGTGAGAATGCCGCAATATCAACCATCGTCGGCGTCGTGCACTGCGTCGGTGCGTTTTTTCATCGATATGGCGCAAGCCTCGTCTATAAGCCGGTCGAATTTTACGCTTGGACCTCTCAAGCACGAGACGGATGGAACTCTCACCTCTCTTTTGTTCCTGATGTCCTCCTCCATCGTAGACATTTTCAATCTCGAAGCTTCGACTGCCAACGAGCGAATGACCCCTTCATAAGCCGCACAATCGCCAGGGAAAATAGCGCAGTTCGATAGCAGCCGCTTTTCGATTCGACACATGCTTACGTTCCCTCAAAAGCTCCGAAAATTCTAAGGATGGGCTTGGAAGGCGCCTGGCGAGGGTAAATTGATGGAACAGGTACCACCCATGGAACTAAACTTTTAACAGGGAGCTCCGTGACCGGGTCACGGAGCTCCCCATAGACTTCCATGGAGTGTTCCATAACTGGTCTCCCCCAAATAAACTGGGGGTCTATGAGAATTTCCCTCAGGTGTTCCACAACTGGTACTTTTCCCCCACTCTATGCCCAGCATTGCGCGGTTGAAGAGATAACGGGCAAGATGATTGGTAGAGAGGCTTATTCCCATCTAAGAGGTCAAAATCAAGACATCGAGCGACTCTCGAAAGTTTCATCGTCCACAGGATTTTCCGCTAAAGGCCTCCCGGTGCCGGCGTTATTCCCATCTCGTGGAGAGAGCAAGGAAAACATCGCGGCTATCCGTCGGTCTCTCTACTGTTCCACGAACTCATTCCTCAGGGGATCGAATGTTCCTCATTCTCTTTGGATATCATCGGTGAATTATCAGCTGCTCAGATATCTCAAAGCTTGGTGATCGCGACAGGCCCGGAAAAAGTAAGGAAAACCTAGGAGCTCGCTCCGTTGTGAAAAGGTCGAAGTGAACTTGAATATTCAGGAGAGTCGGAGCTCGGCTCGACAATCGTGTAGAGAAATCCATTCTGCCCGTCTGCCGTCCATCGGAGCTTGGAGGACGAGCTCCGTAGCCCAATGAAGGAGTGGGTTCGAGCCGGCTCTGACTGAGTAAACAATCGGCTCTCTTCGAAAATGTCGTGAGCCCGTCCACATCGAACAGTGCGCGAAACCCCCTCGAGGGCTCGGGGGCGCGATCCTCGGGGCTCGGTTGGGCGCCGCGTCGATCGTCCTCAAGCCTTGCCTATGTATTGCGATGTTAAAGCCGTATTCAGGAACTGGCAATGTCTCGTGGGTCTCTGTGTGTGACAGGAGACAACCTCGTGCGCGATTCTACGGAATATGGAAGGTTATCTTTCGAAATTCTACCTAACGGCTCGTTTCCCGCTCCATTGCAGTTGGATTCGACGAATCCGGATCTCTGTTGATGTGTCATGTCTTCATTGACGTTCCGGACCGTGTTCCACGGTTTCCGAGCCACAGCCATCCCACGGAATATCCTCCGCAATCCGGCAACCATCTGCGCCAGGAGTCTCTACAGCGCTCATTCACTAGGATTGGACAGATTCAATGAGGATCGGCAACGGGTCTTCGCTCACCTCGGTCCTCGCAAAGCAGAGTATTTTTCGCAATTCTGGGAAAGCTTCAAAGAGGACCGCAAGTCCAGTGAGACGATGGTTTTCACCGGAGACCTGAAAAACGTAGTGCAGCTCTCCGAAACAGACGAGGATATCGAACTCTGTATACGGATGATGCGGATTTTCCATAAACAAAACCAGGACCTCCGATTCGGCACGTTTTCGTTTGGTCCTGTGGTCCTGCGGCTCCTGTACGTCCTCGACAAGCCCGACGTCGTCATACAGGTCTTGAAAGATCCCGAGTTGCACGGATTCTTTGACCAGACTGCCTCGTACCAGTTAGCGATGGATCTTCTCTACAAAAGAGCCCGATACCAAGAAGTCATAGATCTGTTCGAGCACATGCGCAGTCGCCAAGTTTTCGGGACGCGCTTCCCCAGAGACTGTGTCGTCCTGGTGTTGGGGGCCTGCTATCAGTTGGGCACTAGAGGGGCCTATGATTTCGCGCTCAAGCTCGTCGCCGAGGGCAGAGAGAGCGGGGCTCGAATTCTCCGGAAAGGTCTAACCTTCACGGCAGCATTGGCACTCAAAATGCAAGAACCGAAAGTCGCAATGGAACTCTTGGCGCTCACGGCACAGATGAATTACATATCTGTTCGCAATCTGAGACTTATCGCACTGAGCCACATGGATCTTTACGAAGAGATTTTCCTCGTGCTCAGATCCATCGTGCACCAGTATCATCATTTACGTCACGATCATTCCGGAATATGCCCGGACACTATCGACAGGTGAGACCAGATCTAGATGCGTGTACGGCAGCGCCGACCGGCTGGGACTGTTCAGCTTCGGTGTCAGTGCGGACCGGCAACTCTGAATCAGTCGAGGAAGAGTCCGTCGTCTGGAGTCCGTACGCTCGCCGTGGTCTCGCTGCGTCAGATGCAATCCCTCGGATACCTAATAATTCGATCCCTCCCTACGATGCAGGATCCGGGAGAATCTCGAGAAGAAAGGTGATCCGGAGAGACTCCAGCTATTCTCACAATTGCAACGAGCGCTCAAAGAAGGCAATCACATATCAGAGGACAGCCTCGATGAAGTATTGGAACGTCCGATGGAGCACAAATCGCGGGACACCAATCCGCCTCTCGCAATGTTCAAGGTGAGTCCGCTTCATCATTTCAGTGAATGCATGGAGTCACATCTAGTATTTTCAAGGGTAGAAATGCAGCATCGCTTTTCCTTGCAGGAGAGGACCATCAGACCACCGCCGTCGCTCAGGCCCCGAAGCCCTCCATCGGATGTCGGGTCAAGTTCGAAAGACTGACCTCTTTGAAAGCTGTGAATTGCACTAGATTTTTGAATTGGTCGCGAAAAACATAAGAATCCGGCAGGTTCCAGTCATGTACAGTCCATGCTTACTATTCGTCTCCTTCGGGAAGTCCCGTTTCAATTCATACCTTCCCGCCTCAAAATAATCATGTCTCGGACTTGTATCCGTCTTCGTCATCGGACGGCCCAGCGTACCTCCCTCGTCTGATCAGCGCGTAGCCCAGTTCCAAATGAGGAGGGTATTCCCGCCGAGAGCAATTCTTTGTTCCTTCCTCGAACTGTGTGACATTTGGGGAGGTGCTATCATCCGTAGACTCTCCCGAGCTTCGGGTGACATCGACACCGAAGAAAGAACATGCAGTCAGTCGAGATCTCGGCTCACGGATGCCTCATCAGAGGGGGGGTCTCGCATAGAATAGCGAGGCTGTGACAAGGGGAAACGGTCTTTCAATCCATGCGGTTGGATCTGGTCCGAGCAGGGCGGAAGGCTCGAACCTTAGGTAGTCACCTGAGCGGGCTTCATGGAATTCCTTGTTGTGTCCATACTTTAGGGATATGGTCCTGGTTGTTCGAGTCTTGGGATGGCTGGAACTAATTTTCGAAGATGATCTAGAGGGAGCTTCGCCGACCTCCACAATCGTGGGAAAGTCATCGTTGGCCGCTCTTCAGATTTCCCCGTGACAGCTGATCCGCTCAGTGTCCGGGATATGATCCCAGGATTTCCCACGGGAGGGGCGGTCAAAGTATCCTGGAAAGTTCCTGTTTGTCGCCCCAAGATCCATATGCACCGACTATCGTTCAGGACCCTTCAAAACAATCAGGACTCTGAAGATGATCGGAGAGCATTACTGCTCCGTTTGAGTAAAGAAATACGCCGAGAAGCACTGAAGTTGTTTCCTGGAGTGTTTGCGGAGGAAAAGGCAGGATTCCAAGAAGAGATGTATAATCTACTTCCGGGGGCGCATATACCCCTCCGGAGGCTCATGACAGGCAATCTTGGACCAATACCGACTGGAAAAAAAACATCACGGTGCAAATCGATAGTCGTCCGATGTATGTGATGCTCGGGGCTTTGTCTCGTCCACCGAAACTCGAAATGTGATAGCGTTGCCGGGAAGGAATTCCAGTGAGTAGGGAGCGCCGACAGTCCCGATATCCGATCGGGACAGGCCCTCTTGTCGACGGAGCTCAGTTTTTTCTTCCGAGAAGAAAGGTCGAGCATGCCATAGACTCGAGGCAACATCCTCTATGAAACGCCTCAACTGGGAGGAGGAATCGCATCGTGACTGCTCTTCCGAGGACGCCATGCAGGCATCCTGAGAAGAAGAATCAAGTTGGACATTTGAAAGATGTGGCGTGCCATACCGATCGAGCACCGGGATTTAGCACAGGGAAACTTCATGGGTATTTCCCACCCAGCGGTCGTCGCATTGCATCGGGAACTCGCAGGGAAGAGCAACGTGGCGGCCACTTCTATCGATGCCGCAGTCTTTTGCGGAAGGGAGTCAGTATGGCTATCCGAGATCGCAGGCGTTGCTTGACGAGCGCAAGCTCCCAGTTGGAGCCTTCCAAGGTGCGTGGGAAGACCCTTTGTCCGAAGAGGAAGAGCTGCTCTACGCTTGCTAGGTGACACAGGACCAGGAGATGAAAGTTGTGCACGAGGATCGAATAGACGACTCTGGCAGCACAGCTGATGGACAATACCAGAAATGCAAGTGGAGCGTCATTCCGGGAATTGCGCCAATAACGACAGAACTCCAGGGAATAAATTGAAACCAAGAGCAGCGTGGACCCGAGCTCACTGAGAAAGTATGTGCTCGAATCACCGCCGTCGATTGGAGCCACACCGGAAGCAGATCAGCAACTGGCTCAGCTCGCCAGGGGCTGAGCACGGAGAGGATCGACTCAGACCGAGCATTCGTTCATGTACGGAAGGGGGGCTCCAACGCCGACTCCGATAGTAGGAAGGCAGCAGGATAGGAGATATCCAGAACGACAACGAAAACCGCCGAATAAATGAATATCCTTCCATATAAGAGGCTAGGTGTATTGTCTGGGTGAGCAGCCATGATCTGAGCTGAGGGAGGTTAGCCGATTTCCTCGAGAGCATGTGCGAGGGAGGAGGGCACTCATGAGAGGAAAAATACGTAATTTCAGGGAGTCTGAAAGCATCGCCCATCCAATGAAACGGGACGGAAGAAGTGCATCGTCGGATCGCAGTCGCAGAACCTGGCGGAGATGTGTAGTTTTTGCTCATCCATCAGGAAGTGGGGGAGGAGGGCCATATTCCCGACAGATCACGAGACTACACAGGGCACACCCCGTTTAGGAAAAACCCGTTACAGAGCGAACACGCTCTCCGATGCCCGGGGCTCATCGATACCCATATCAACTCTCAAAAAGCAAGGGCACCGTCGGCGTGGTTTTAATGGAGCGGCCGAGGAACTTTAAGCCATGGGTTCGCAGATACTTCAGGCCGCGGGAACTCGCGACCGAATTCGATTTATCGTGTCTGAGAGGGGTGGGGCGCGAAGCTCCCTGGGGAATCATCCAAGAATCGCTGATCGCGGAATTGATCGAGGAGCCGAATTCGCCAAACGCGAATTCGGTGTTGCTAGTGAAGGAACGGGATAGATTCCTGGGGATGTACATCGATCATGACCGAAAACTCTCATAGACCAGCGGTGTTTCGGGAGTTCATGTCGAGAGTTCAGAAAATAATTGGAGATGAGACGACGCCGACGTTTCCTTTCGTCGACGACCTGATCACGGCAGCAGATCCCTATGCGACCCCCGCTCGAGGGTTCCGACTGCCTACAATTCCTGTGTCGGAGCGGTATTTAGGTGTCGATCCGCCCCTTCCTCGAGTTATCGACCGGCCCCACCTCCCTCCTGGATCCGCCGATGCATGACCAGATGGAGTAGTCGAGTATTCAATTTTGCATATCCCGAGCAAAGGAACTGTCGTCGATTACGATTGGTCAAGCGGACGATGAGATGAAAGATCCCGATGACAATCGAAGTTTCGACACCTGACTGCGCGCTCCCTGCGGTGCGCGATGCTCAGCATTCGGCATGCAAGGACTCGGTGCCGTCTCGCTTGTTTCTCTGATCTTTATTTCCCAGTGGAGAGAGCTGCATCCTAGCGAAAGAAAGGTGGAGAGACCTCAAATAAACGAGACATCCGAGGAACCTGAATCATACACGATATTCCGATTCTCATAGGAACGCTGATATTCCGACGCTGCCGCGCGACTCGTCTCTCGCCTGGCGAATGTGAATTGTTCCCCTTGGAAGGTCGCGCTCCGACACTCGTAGTTTCTGGATGAGCAAGCTCTCCCCAACTCAATAGGTTCCTACGAAATGGACGATGAGATATGAGATCATGACGACAATCAGGGGATACTTCAGCAATGAGTCAAAACGACGAGCTTCGCGCTGAATTTGATCCTCGTCAGGTTGACCGTGGCTCCTGAAGAAACTCTTCGCTCCTTCACTCTTTGACTCGGTGCGTTTAAGATTTCCAACGATCGTCTCTCGGAGCGGAGTTACGATGAAGAATGCGGGCTGAAAAGTACATAGTAGCACACATAATTCAGTCTCGATGTTCCGGGAACGATTCACCGCGATCGTCCAGTCACCGCGATCGGGAGAGAATCGAGCAGTCGCGGAGAGGCAGGCGAGGAGTCTGCTGCTCCACTCGAGGCAGTTTCCTTCATTCTCAAGAGTAGGAGCGGAATTCGTAGTTTTTGCTCTCTTCGATCGTGATCCATCGACACCCTCCTCGAGACGGAATCCTGCGAGCACTACTGGCTAACAGTATTCCATTCGTCTGTTTGGTAGGTCGGGCTGACGAATTGTGAAGTCCCAATGATGAGATGCGGCACAGAACCAAAAAGGTGGAAGGTCGCAAAAAAATCCATTTTTGCATTGGGATTTGGGAAGAAATATGAAATACTGCCTCTCCGTGTCGAACGAGTCTCTCTCAAGACCCGCGCGAGACTGATGAGCTCAACGCCAAAGGCTCGCATGTATCTGAGGATCCATCCTGTTTGCATACCAGTCGATCATGGGGGGGAAATGGCTCAATCCCATATCAGCTGCGAATGATTCTCATAATAATCCTCATCCACAGACTGTACCTTTTCTCGTTCGAAACGTTCGGTCGCCCTCTTGCTAGCAATGCGTCTGAGACGACACAGGTACCAATGCACCGCAATCGGTTCCAGGGTTACTAAAATCATGAAGACCATATCGCAGAGAAGAAATTGGTCGAGATACTGCAAGTGGACGTGAGAGAGGAATATCAGGGCTATCTCTCGGAGGGGTCGACTCGCTATGAGGAAATGTACCGGCATGGGAACCTTGAGGAGTATTCACCGTCATGATGTTCGCTCGAGGGAGCCCCACACTCAATGAGCCGTATATGGTGTAGAATGAAAGCAACACCGACGTGATAAGAATTATACGCTCCGAAAACGACCGAATGTTCATGAAAAGAGAGGTCACACCCACGATGGCTAGAAGTATGCATGGGAGGTAGGCATTGTAGAACATGTTGGTCAGAAGACGGTGGAATTTGATTTCCAGTCTCACTCCCTGGAAGCGATGGAACAGCGCGGAACCTGTGATCGGGAAAAACATCAAGACAGACGGAGAGACAAGGCCATCACCGCATCGGCATGCCTGTTTCGGGAAGCTCCGCAAGCTGGCTATCCGCGGATAACGAGCGCGAACCTTGCAGCGTCGTCCAATCAGGCGGGAAAGACCAATGGACACCCGAGTCTTCGTACTGGTGGAATTCAACTCGGTACTCCAACATTTTGAGAAGATTATTACGATTGTCGGCAGCATCCCCTCGATTGACTTTCCAGGTGAGCTTCAATCGAGTATCGTCCTCGGTATCTGTCAGTGAGCGCCGCAACATCATAGCATTAGCGTACCCATGTAAGGGCGAAATGAGAATGAAAGCTTAAAAACTGCGCCCTTACAGCTGCTTATGGTGAGAGGACAGGTCTGCACATCGAAAGGATAATTGTCGAAATCCGTCTTACAATTGATCGTTCCTTGCTGGCTGGAATGGATGGCATAGATTTCCCGGTACGATGGATTGAAATTACATGCAGGGAATCCGACCGACAGGGAGCGTGGAGAAACCCCCATATTGGAGCCGTTCTGAACTTTTCCCCACATAGAGCAATTTGCGACCCCGTACCGCAGTTCTGGATATTCACAATTTCATGCGATTGGGCAAGGGAACTGTCGGAAGACCTGAGGATGTCATAGGATTCTGGGCAAATGAAGGCAAATGCGTCACATATCGAGGTCGTGGTGCTCACCGCAACTTCATGCTGTAAGAACAGCCCTTCCGATTGAGACTGCTGTGATCAATCGTAACGGCGACTGTTGGATTCACCTGATTGGAGAACATCAAAACAATTGGAGTCAGAGGATTCTGAAGCCTGAGCTCACTCATCTTCAAACTTCTTGGCTACGGATGTTGCTCACCTCGTCCGAGACCGTCATTTTTTCAGCTTCTGAAATCTGAAAGCACGGGGTCCATATGAACTGCATGATATTCCCGGAAAAGTGGGAGACATTGCTGTCCTCAGGGACTAATCCTACTCCGTGTAGCCTGGTCAAGTCCTCCCGACAGCTCTGAGTGGACTCAGTCCACTTGGCGAAGAGCAACATGTCGATGGTGAACGACTGCGGAGGGATTATAATTGGAGTAGTGCCAGGAGGGAGTAGAGCTCGCTACGAGAATCGCGGATGCAGCGACGCGGAGAGTTCCCGCATCCTCGTCTACCTCCTCTAAATTATTCGTGTTGACCTTTCCGCCATTCTACTCACGCTTTTCTTGATATCCAGCTCCCCTAAATTCATGACGGCGATGTAAACCTCTACATCCAGTCGTTCCGTCTCTGGAAAGAGGCACTGTATCCCGTCGGTGACCCTCACTTCATCCCACTTGACATTGTTGCTCAGCGTCTCGAAATAAGCGGCGCCGTTCGTGACTTCAACGCACCGTTCATGGGGAGAGACTCCGCATAAATTCTGAGGAGGAAGAAGAATCGGAACACGAAGGCGTAACGATTCCCAACTTCCATTGGTTGAGGTGGATGCTGACCGAGCTTCGGAGTTTAGGACTCTCGGACTGAGGAACCCTCGTTTGTGACACTTGGGTTTTGGATTCCGTTCGAAAAGTTCGACGCTGAAGTTTTCGACAGCTTGATGACGGATTTTTTCGGTGGATTCGAACAGACCGGACCGAGGCGGAAACTTCGCATCCATCATTCCCAGAGATTCGACTCCTTCGCTTCGACCTCCTTGAGCTCTTGACGGCGAATGCTCGTTGACATTCGGGGAAAATCGATGAATCACTTCCGGGACCATAGGATGTCCCCGCTCTTGACTCTCTTCGACTGCACTCTTGCTCGACGATTGCTTCAAGGTAGAGAAGGCATTGGGTTGTACAGTATGTGAATTCGAAGGTCGAATGAACTCGAAGGTCCACTTGACGAAACTTAGCAAAACAGCTAAAATTTATTCCCCCCCCGAATCTCCTTCAGAGTCATTACTTTCCCCGGAGCTTTGAAGGAGCTTCTCTTCTTCCTTGGTCCAGGCGAGGAATTTCTTGACATCGCTCGAGCTCAAGTGTGAGTGAACTTTCGTAAAAAATCGGTGGAACAACGCGTCCCACGCCGAAATCCGATTATGCGGATTGTACTGAAGCAGGCTGCGTGAGAGTTCGTACGTCACCGAGTCGCCGACGGAACTAGCGTTGACCTGCTCTGTCGAGTCGTCGCTGCTCATGTCTTGCAAGAAAGAGACATTGGTTTCCGGTTCTATAGCCTCCAGATCGAGGGGGCTCGGAGGACCGAGTTTCGTGACGTACCGCGTCAGCTGATCCAGTGAGTCCGTCCCATTGAAACAAACCCTCAGTTTGACGAGTTCCAGAAGGATACATCCCGCACTCCACAGGTCGACGTTGACAGAATAATTTCTAGAGCCCATCAGGAGCTCGGGCGCTCGGTACCATCGCGAGCAGATGTACGGCTGATTTCTGCAGCCATCGTTGATGACCTTCGCGGAGCCGAAGTCGCAGATTTTGAGTTCGCAGATTTCATCGTTAACGACGATATTTTCCGGCTTCAGGTCCCGATGCGCGATGTCTCTACGGTGCATGAACGCGAGTCCTCTCAGGAGCTGAAACATGTAGACACTCTGTTTCGTCCGAGGAATGCTCTCTCCTCGTTCTGAATATTTTTGAACGACCTGGGAGAGGTTCGAAGGCAAGTAATCCATGAAAGACAGACAGTATCTATCCCTCTTTAGCTTGTAATAAAATAACCGGACGAGATTTGGGTGCTTCATGACCAGCGACATCGAGATCTCTCGGAACCTGGTCCTCGGAGAGAGTTCCTGCTCCTTGAAAGCATAAACCGCGCCCCCGGATGTCCTCACGCGGAACACCTGCCCGAATGAGCCGACACCCAGAACCTGTTCTACGACGTATTTGAGTTTGACTTTTTTGCCCGTTTTCGCTGAGACCGCATTAACGACCTTGTATTTTGGGCTCATATTGCTGCTCTTATTCTTCTCTCTCCGACACGGGTTTCGATCGCATGCCTGGAGCTAATTTGGCGTCAGGTGACGGAAAGAATTCGTCGTAGCTCGACGTTCATAATGACGACTGTAAATCTCGCAATTCAGCCATTGCAGGCGAATGTCCCGGCAGCGGGGTGTCACTTCATTTATGTCGGGAAAAAGAGAGATTGCTCCCGGGGAGTTCTAGGAGCGGAGGGAGGCGGTCGACAATCTGTATAGAACGAAGTGCCGGATGACGGAAGATGAGGAACTCGGCGCTCTCCTTCGCATTTATGAATGAAGAAAAGGTTGACGGCTCGCAAGACCATGTTCATTCCTTACAATGCTGTGAAATAGGGAAGGGTCGCTGTTTCGTCACCCAGGGCCCATAAAATCTTCAGTGCGTAGGCGCCGAGTCCCCAATTCTCACGATTTCGGTCATGTTGAAGCCTGCAGAAAGTACCGAAGTATCCTTCTTCTTCTGGCGCGAGGGTTCGGACAAGATCCGCTCGGAGAAAGATCTATGAGCGAGCTACGGCTTATATGTACAAATGCGAATGCTCGTAGGCTCTGCTGATTCTGCTGTAAGGGCTCCAAATTTAGCTTGTTCCTGCGAATGACAGGGCTCCGAGCTCTCATACAGAGCCAAGATAGAGCGCACTCAGACAGCGCTGAGCTCCTCCCGTCGGAACTCCAGAGCCAGCTCTGGTCCTTCGCTCTGAAGAAGACATGTATGCCCGCACTCGAAGGCGCGTAGTATGCGGAAAAATTAACCGATTACGTCTCCGAATCGAGCCCCTCAGCGGTCGTCATCTTGTACGGTAGCGATAACGAGTCACGAATCGAATTATTCTGAAGTACCTGGTTTCGAGCTGCGATGGATCGGACTAGATCTGTTCCCCTGTATCGTCCGTGCGAGAGTCGTTCATGCTGCGACGTCTGCATTCATGACGGCATCAAGTCCGAAGATCAAACATTTTATTTCCATACGAATTGCTTTTTTGTCATAATTCGTCACCATATTGTTATTGTTGCTTTTTGTTGCCTCAATTGTCTTATTTACATCCGGGTATTGGGAGCCGGCTGGTCCAGAACGCCAAAATCGGAGTTCCGGGTCGACTTCCCGGGTCGCTGATTACAACAGTGAAATATCATATGTGCTTTTTTTTACACGTTCAAGACACGTTCGTTCGAAGGTTGATCCTGAAAGCAGCCTAATTCTACCTCCTTGTAGCACTCGCTGCTTCTGTGATAGGAAGACGGCCTAAATCAGGACCATTTCGCTACGAAGAACGCGTTCTCCCAAAAAACGCCGTTCCCGGCACGGGATGCCAGTCGGTCAGTTGGCCGTTCGACCAACACTTCGATGACATGGAGATATTTTTTACCTGTGGAGCGATGGACAGAACTCAAAATGAATTCGGCTCAGTCCGGGGGGCTGCGGATCAATTTCTGATTCAGCGAAAAAAAAACAGATAGGTGCTCGATGATCCGCAGAAGCGAATTCGGGAAGGCTTTCCCACCTGGCACTCACATCTAGTATTGAAATCTGACGGTGAGATCTGTATTGTGGCTTTCCAACGTCCCGCCGTGACGGCAGACGATTATTCTCGAGTTTGGTTCCGGGTATTCTTGGTATGGTGGCGGTGGTTCCACGTACATTCCGTTGAAATTCACATTAGACGGCCCGACATGACCTTGATGCAGGATCGGAGGAGGTTCCCCCATCTCTCGTGCCATGGCGGCAGCGTACGAAGGCGCGGGTTCGATGGTTATAGAGTCGCTGCCTGACTGGTCCGGACAGTACATATCGGCGGCAACCGTCATTGCGGTACTTCTCGAATATGTCGGTGGCCGCTCTAACCGAGTATGAAGATCCTCGTCCGAAAGGTCTTCTAAGTTGATGACATTTCCTCTGGAAAAGGAACCGCATTCATGAGAGCTTTCCTGGCTCCTTCGGGACGCGGGGTATGGACAGGGATCCATGCCGGACTTTTCCCGCGGCGCGCGTTCACGCTCGCTCAATCCAGCATTGCCGGACCAGATGTTCGGATCGAGTTCACTAACCCATGAGAACGGGCGCGTTTGTGACGCGTATGATTTCGACGTTTGCAGATGACGCAGGACGCGACGATTATCGTGGTGAGGAATAATACGCAAGACACCACGCCTCCGATTAGGAGAAGGAGCGCCTCGGCGTCCCTGGAATTGCATAATACAGACACGAGCATCATTTCAATGTCGACTTACGCCCACGGCTCTGCGTGGGCCGGAAAGAAGGACGGCTCCCTTGTGGAGACAGGAATGGAGATTCCGACCGATTGTGAGCGCTCACGTTCACAGAGACGAACAGATCTGGATATTTCGAAAACACGTCTCGATTGAGAACTCTCCCGTCTTCTCGCTCGGTGGCGCCTCCGAAGGATCTGTCAACTTCGCCAGCGATCGTTCGAGAACTCGAACGCAGAACAGAACTAAGATGGGAACTGAAGGGCGGGAACTGGGGAGGCCGATGCTTGCATAAAGCTCCACGTTCCGACTATCTTGGTTCTCGTCTGTCTTTTTTTTCTGCCTCAGCACGTAGCTGGCCAGCTGCTGGCTCCGATCCCGGCCGCTCGTTGAATATATCATCACAGTGTAGGCGGCCACTTACGTGTTCTTAAGGTGATCGGGCGTCTTCCCAATAAACTCCTTGCAGCAGAGAGGTTGAGTGCTCTGACCGCAACAGAATACGCGCGCACCGCTCATGACGGGACATTTGAAACCAGCGATTTGTCGCCCGAAAGCGTCGGTGAAATCCGGGCATACTGGTCCTTCATTCAAAACTGAAATAATTTGCCTTTCATGAGATTACCGATTACAATCCTCGGATTAGATGAATCTCTACCCCCTCAGGTCACTAACTCAGACTTCCGAGAGAATCGGCCGCCAATCAGCTCAGCTGATCGCTACAATGGCCTTCCGGAACCGCGAATGAGAAGCGTCAACAATATTGGGGAACCGCTACGATTCTCTTCCACAGGGAGATCGAGGGTGATTCGCAACAGTGGAATCAGGATAGAGTCGATAAACGACGAAAACCGAAAAACCTCGTCCAAAACCTCGTCAAGGCGAAGTAATCCCATCGGAATCGGGGGCTTTTGGGTATCCCGTCATGGAACCAGGATTCGTCTGCGTCCCGTATCAGCGAGACATAGAAACGCAGGAAACTAGCACAGGGCATCGCGGAAGTCGATGACCGTCTTTCATCTACGTATCGAACAATGGTCGAGCTCCGCTCGGCCTTCACGCTACACCTACCTGGCATTTGGGCGTTGAACTGTATGTAACGAGTTTCGGCACTCATTGTGAACGCTTGAACACTTCAGAGCGAGCGAATTGCGCGACTCATGGTAACCTGAACAAGACTCGTACTCATTAATCACGGCGTTTCCGTTTCTATTGTTCTTCCCGAGGGCTTGGGAGGCAGGGACGAACGTGGGGCTGACCGCTAGACAGAGCTTCCCCGTCTAGAACGTCTTGTGTGGGAATTGGCTTTTAGTTGGGAATATGAATGGTGCGCCAGAATGCAATAAGGCTCAAGGCTAGCGTATCCCCAAATTATCGCACGCGTCTGGAAGGAGCAGATTCCGAGTCCTTGAGGTAAGCTCCTCGATCTCCCGATCCATGAGAAGTGTCCAAGAGACCCCTTGCAAGTTTTAGGAATGATCGAACAGGACGACCGTTATTCACCTGGTTCTCATCGCTTGGCACTGATGACAGCAGAGGTTTGTTTGCCTGGGAAACTGGGTTACGGAATTGGAAATCCTAGGGTTTTCACAAAAATACAGACTCCGAGAGGGTTGGGAGTTGTGCCAAAGCCTGTATTTGCTAAGTAGAGGAGCGTAAAACGTAGCACAAAGCGTTCGGAAACGCTGTTTTAATAGCTCCTGAGCATAGCCATCTCTCGGTGGTGGGTTTCTCTTCGGCTCTGTGATCTCAAATGGTCTCTGTGAGCGCATGCGCGCGGCCCCCTTTAAGAGACTCTCTCGCCTCATTCCTTCTAGGTTGGGGCGCTGCAGCGGGCACTTCGAATCTTGTTCATGGCCTGAGACCTCTACTGTTTTCGCGGTTTCGTGGACGGCACCGGAAAAATTAATCCGAGATTCACACTCACCTCGCAGGCTCAAGCCTGAAAGACGGCTTCAACGTGGTTTTCCGTGTCGGAGTCGATACGATGGATCCGCTCCGGCAACCACCAGAATGTCGGTAGCGCCTCCAGTCTCGGAACTACCGCTGTTCGCTATGCGTGGATTCTCGACTATCCGTATCGAGGGTTTCGGGCGCTCCCGAGCTCCTTGGGAATCGGGGGAAATGGGCTGGTACCGCTGATTCGCGTCGAGCCGCGAAATGCAATGAGGAGTCCACAGCATCTTGGAACGCCCCAATGTTCCCACCGCTCCCTCTCGCGCGGAACAATCGGCTCGATTGGCTCGGTAACTCGGCTCGAGCATCCAAAAGGTTCTCCCACAGGACATCGGGCGGAGGATCGAGATGAATACTCGTATTCGGGAGGGGTCCTATTAACGAGTCGGTCTCATGATGAATGCGACTCGCGAAATTCCTTATTCGAGCATTTCAATGAGTCTCTCTTCGTCTCACTTCGATCACATTCGAGTATTTATTAGGAATTATGAGGAATACTTAGAGTTTCGAAAGTAGAATCAGGGCTTGGGGGCATCTTTCCTCCAGCTGCACGGGAGGAGGTCTCTCGGGGGCGGGGAGGGGGGGGGCACTTATTCATAAAACCTTACACGTGGCATTCGCACGTCGGAGGATAATGGCCGTAAGGTTCGCCTGGTTTGAGCAAACATGAGACAAAAACTTGGCACATGCTCTATTACGACGATAAAAGAGTGTGTCGAACTCGAGTCGACACCGAGATATGGCGCGGGATGATCGAAAGTCCGTCTTCCAGGATCGTAGTGGGACAATATTCACAGCCAATATGAATTAATTACGCTTGGAAGCAAAACGAGATCACTGACCATCTGACCTACAGGGAAACCAATGACTAACCAATAGACTCTCGCAACGTAGCTTACGGGAGGCTGTGTGTGTATGTTACGACAGAGACGTTCGTCCGTTTCCCAGACGAGCTCTCAACGGCCCGGATGGAGGAGGCGTACGACCATCGCGGAATTGATTCGAACACGATATCGCAATCAGAATTATTCCATCGGCCCAAGGGTCGCGGTAAGACTCGCTTTATAGGTTCTCCTGCTGATAGCTTCTCCAGATGAACATCGCCTGGGATATAGCAGCATTCGTCGATTGGGTTGGTACCCTTGAGGATTTTATGTCTGCTGGCCTACCAGCCTGTGGAGCCTGTAATGAAATCCATATTAGAACGTCGCCGACACCGAGCATGAGAGAGGCAAGCTCGGTTTCCATCTAATCAATTGGAGTCAGGCATTCGGTTGACTCGATCCGATGCGACGTCGGCTCGGAATATCACTCGTTATGAAAAGCATGTAAAAAGTTCAAACTTGAGAATTCTCGACCGCCGCAGTAGATAGACGGTACCTCGGAGGCTTTGCCGCGTCTAGCGAGCTCCTCTTCCCACGAAGACAGGAAAGCCTTCAAGCGGCTATCTGTGCTCGCCTAGAGAAATGAATCGCCCAATTTACATAAACTCATCGCAAATTCGGCAGCGATTCAAGATGTGGCGCCTCGATTCCCAACCGAGACAGATATTGCGGCTGTGGCAGCAGCAGCAGCTCAACAAGTGCTGAGGGTACGGGGAACAAATCGCGAATCGATGGGGAATCAAATCAGAGAGGCTACCCGTTCCGACTGCCGTCTCTTACCGGGACCGAGACTTGAGCCATGTTCCTGTCTGCGACGATTTGAGCCACTAATCCCCGATGTTCTCGTAGGAGCATATGGCGGAAGTCTTCTTGCGCGTCGACGAAGCTGCGGATCTCTTTACGCAAACGGTTGACTTCTGATCGGGTCTCATCTTGAGCCTGGAACATGAATGATACGACATTGATCGGCTTCCGGGCTTGCTCGCGGGAGCTTCTGAAACTTCGAAAGGTCCAGTCTGAGGCGAAAATATTCGCAATCGATGAATATTTAACCCCGGAGAGGGAGATTATTTTCCGAAAGACTCTGCAGTTTTCGTAGGGAGCCTCATTGCTCTCTTGCCTCTAAAAAATCAGACTGGACATACACCAGCACTGACGGAAAATCGGGTAGGAAAGACTTTTACGCAGCCTGTACAGACCTCCGTCGCTTTGTCGGCGATAATACTCAATCGCTGGGTGAGCTCGTCAACTCGGGCTGGTCCTGACAAAATTTTCCTCTCCATCATCTGCAGCCTTTTTTCCATCTTCTCGCAGAACTCCGACATCAAAGAATGCTGCAGAAATTCCAATCGGCTCACTGCGGAGCGGAACGAAAAAGGAGGAGGGAGTGGGCCTTAGTTAGAAGCTGTCGGTTTTGGGGCGAGAGTTCGAGTCTAACGAGCAAACGGAAATTCGTCGCCGGATCGACCGCCCGCGTATTTCAGAAGACAAATAGCTCCAATTCATTCCTCTGCCGTGAGGAAAAACCTGCCTTTCGCAAGCAACTCTCGAAGGGAAAATCTACGAGTCTTCAAAGCAGGCGAGTGTGCCAAGTGTGCAAATTGGGTCTTTCCGAAAAAGATGTAGGTGACGTATCCGCATGACATACGAGTGCTTAGCGTTCAGCCCTGGGCGATGCTGCTATCGGAAGTCTTCGCCGGCTCGCTCGGCGTAGGCAAGACGAATCCCGCTTCGAATGAATTCGACGAGAACTTATCGCTGTCAGTTTCGTATGAAGATACGATAAAATCCGTCGAATGATTCTAATTGAGCCGACAGTGAGCTTAGATCTCTCTTACAGGACCGACGCCTGGTTCAGCGATGAGCGCGTATAAGAGTTTTTGTGCAAGCGTGCTTCCCAAGTCTTCCTACGTGGCTCCCATTTTGTGAATCCCAATGGCTAAGTATCATTCTGACGTAGACGTAATGCTCAAAATACATCCCATGCCGAATCGCAGGTTTTGTCGAAGGCGGCTGGTCTGGCAAAGAAAGAGAACGCTCCTCAGCCAATTAGGGTTTCGTAAGAGAGCGATATCGACGCAATGTCTGTAGGGGGCTGTGAGGGCAACGGAACTCCGTTCGGCAACAACCATCCAGAATTAGCCCCATGAAACCCGGTGAAGGAGCGCGATTTAGACAGTAGAATCCGACCGGAGTTTCTTCCGCGGAGGCACTGAAGATTGATGAACCATGATGACTTAATCGGTCATTTTGCAGCTAAGCGAGGTGAATTTTCAAAGGCATCGATTTCTCAGTGGTTTTTCACGCATGCGACTGATATGTGCACCTCCCAACTCTATTCCGTTTCGCGATCGCTGCGATCAACGACATGACGATCATGCATACGTTTTCGGACTTCTCACCTAGATTGTAAACTTTATTCGTGAGGTCTCGGACCGATCTCGTTTGGTCGAAAGCTCTGGACACCTGATCTATCTCCTCTTGCTTTGTTTTCTCGAGCATCATGAGCTCTCTTTCGTGCTCACTCTTCATCTTCATGACGAGCAGGCTGGAGAAGCAGAAAGAATAACTTGAAGCGAAAGGAGAAGCCTATGATTGCGAGTGATTCAGATCAAATGAGGATCGACTTCAAGACATTCTTCCGAAGTTTTTCCCCTCGGCTTCACGGAGAAGTCCAGTTGTCTAGAGGAGATCACATTGGAGATTCCTTGTTCTTCTATTTATCCACGGTGTTCGGGATGTAGAATATACACAGTACACGCTTACTTGTTTGCTTTGTTGATTCGATCCACCGTTTGTTCGTACTTTTCGCGCACTTCAATCTCGAAGCGTTCCCGAGTTTGCTCTTGTTCGAGCTTGATTCGCTCCTCTCGAGCCCGGCGCTCCTCCTCGTGTAGTTTCTGCAGTTCGAACTCTTCGGAGAGCCGTTGTCTCATGTCGGTGAATCCACCTCTGATCGTTTCCAAGAAGGAGCTCTGCTCCGTGGAGAGCTTTTCGAGTTTTTGTTCGATTCCATCCCGCCACGAATTCGACTTCGAGTCCTGTGCTTGTTTAATCGCCTCATCCTTCATGAGAAGGAGCTGTCTCTGGAGTTCCAGTTGACCCCTCAGAGCTTCCACCTGGAAGAGGAATCCAAAATGTGACACTGTCTGTGACGACTAGGTAATCAAATCTGTTCGCGGGAGTTTCCCAGAGGATTCGCATGAGTCTGCGGTTGTCCCGGATTTTCAACCTGTCCTACCAAAGAGAATTCTCGCAAGGAAGCCTGACCTGGTCTCCATAGCTCTCGTGTCTTTCGAGACCGATATTCTCGACGCCCTTCTCCCCGTTGGTTCGAGTTTCCTTCCTGGAGATCTCCTGGAGTGGTCGGCGAGAGAGAATTCCATGTGAGAAGTGTTCTTGCTCTCCGATCTATGGCGTATCGATCTCTATTTGTCCCAGTCGACCCAAATCATGGGGCTTCCGCTACGGCTGCTCAAGCTACATTACCCGCGACAACAAGCCAACGGTAGCTTGTATCTTCGCCATCGAGCACAGTCATCATCGGAACGACGTTCAGTCCCATCGAAGCCGTCACCATCAGAACGACGGAAGGAGTACTGGCGCGAGCCAGAAACAAAATAGGGAATCGTGCGAAAAAACGTGGAAGCACTTGGGGAACGGCCAAGTGTTTGCAAGAACCTTTTGTGCGACGGATGTGACGCCACCGGCCGAGGTGTGCGCATTAATGCTTGCCGGTTCTGCTTCGACGGACGGCTGCGCATTATCGCTCTCCCGGGGTTTCCGGTCGACACTTTTTTTGATGTTGATTCCCGCCAGGCTATCCACATCCAGGAGGCCTCCTCGAGCTTGCCCGGGCTGCTTTTTCCTGCAACGACATGGAGCGAATCGTTTCGGCGCTGAACTGCATAAACACCCTCGGGGAGGTAGTCTTTAAAGCATTGCATCCGGAATCTTTCACTAGACTTTTCGCTCTCCGGAGCAGAGGGGAGAGTGCTTAAAGGAACATGAAAAGAGCCAAGAGAATAGCGCATGAGGGACTCCTATCAGGAGCTCCCTACCACGAGCTGTCCTTCCTTTCACAATCGACTCCATGGGAGGCGTTTTCCAGGAGAAATTTCATGCAGTTTATTCGGGCAAACCCACTTTTCTTGCTTTTCTCGACCCTGTGATGGTGGGAGCTGGACTTGTTTCTGAGCAAGGTTCGGCGACGACATCGATTCCCCTTCGCTCTCAGAAGAGTAATCCGAATAATCGCGTCTTGGCACATTGGATTTCCCGGAGAGAATCTGAAAGATCATTCCCGTCTTATTGATTGAAGTTTGCCGCCTCTTGAATTTGCCAGGATTGTCAGACGAGCAGAATCTCTCTGCTGAGCCCAAACAGTGACTCCACTACCCCAGTAGGCGCTTAGCGCGTACAATCACTCCGAAAGCCAACCCCCCACTCGTCATCTCTTCTCGTGCTCTGGAATGATTTCGCTGCTCTCTCTTTTAATCGCTGCGCTGAAGAAAATGAGCTCCTCCACCGAGACGCGCATGAATGAAGCTTCAAGCTACCGCTCGGGACATGTACATAGAATAAATATCTCTATTCCAATATCGTACGATCTTGCGCTGGTCGAATTAGCTTCCGTCATTCCAGAGGAGAAACTCCGGGGGAAATGACCCTGAAAACCTGAACCTCTCTCGTTTGTTCTCTGTTGACGAACGAGACTGCCCATGCTTGCGTTACACCCATTCCCGAGCCCAGAGGACCGAGGTAGCTAAAGCGCTAAATCGCTGCGATCACGTATGAGCCGAAAGCGTGGGGTTTACCTCTTCAATGGGAGACTTTGGGCGTGTTTGAGGTGTGGGGATTTTTTCCTGAGCAACGGTTTGTTTCTGAGAATGTTCACTGTGTTCTCCCTGGTGTGCTTGCTTCCGCGGTTGCAGAGCAGCCTTCCGAGCCTTAGTCCTGGACAAAATCGCATCCAGAGGATCAATGTCGGCGTCACCTGAGGAAAAAAAATCGTTACTTCGGCTCTGGTCGAGGACGTAGCGTCATTCCTCTCAGGATTGGTTATTCTATCGAGTTGATTGCAGCTCCGCCGATGGGGACTAGAATTAGAACTCGGGTGCAGTGTTTCCGAAGGACAACAGATGTTCAACAGAGGAAAACGAAATCGTCCGCGAGGAACGAAAACACGTGTTGGATATATTCCTCTGGAGAACGGTGGAGCATTTGTCCGCCTTCGAGACACAAGTCACGCGCGGCTCGGCCTCTGGGACCGAAAATTTTTGTAGGCCGCCTCGGCTGTAACGGAACGAATGCTGCTTCCCAGTGTACATATGCACTGTTCGAGAGAGGCAAAAACCCTGCGAATATTGTTCTCACTTTGCAATTTTTGTGGCGGACCGCTACTCGCGACTTGAGATGTCCTTTGGGCTTCTTGCGCGGTGGTGGCTTTGGTCGGAGCCGAGTTACCGAACAAGGCGGTGAGAAAGGTGTTTTCTTTGGAGCTTGTCGCCGCCCTGAAATAGTTCCGTCTCCTCGCAGAGAAGTTCATATGACCAGAATAGCCTCAGACTGGATTTGGAATATTTGCTCTATTCCTGTTGCTCTCCTCCTTTCCTTGCTGTTCCACAAGAAATGCCATTGCTTTCTTTCTTACCCTTGGCTGATCCTAGGCTCGTCATCGAAAAGTGAAATCCGCGCAGAGCTTTTAGAGGGTGTGAGAACGGTGGGTTTCTTGCTTTTATCCTCTTCCACGGCATTCTTCAGAATTTCGTCCAATTCGTTGTCGAAATCTTACGCCGGAAGTCAAATTTAGTATTCTATATGGAGGCCGTTGGATCGAGCTCTTGTTGCTGTCGGCTAGGCTGTGAGCCGACAGCCGGATGTTTCGCAAAGTTGATCTTGTTTCCGATCCCGTTTCGCGAACATTGCTTTTGTAATTTCCCGGATTGAGTGCTCTTGGCACTTTGCCGGACCTGCTCCCCAGCTCCTGAACTTTCTGATTGAGTCATCCGTTCATGTGTGCATGCGGTCCTCAATCGCTGTAATCAGAGCTCTGACGGCGACAGAATATCTGCGACGGGAATAAGCCAGCACGATCCCACGTCCCGTGATATTTGCCAAAGCACCGGATGAAAAGCCTGCGGTCTTTCCACAGTGACAGTCATGGTCACGTGCAACGTCTCTCTGGGCCGCGATATCCCAGAGTTTCCTAAGTTGATTACCTCTATATTACGACAACAGAGCGACCGATTAGCGGAGTAAATAATCGAGTTTATCTGAATGAAACAAATGACAGCGAAAAGGAGAGCCGTCGGCGGATATCTTCGTGGATTTCGAATGATAGGAGGAAAAAAAAGTTCGAATTTCGAGCTGTACCCGCAACTGCTGTTATATGGAAGAACTTGGGACTTCGTGGGAAAGAATTCTGACTCCTAATCCATGTCGGCTCTTGGTTCCCAAAGCTGCGAGCAAATCGGAATGACTCCGGCGAGTTTTCCGAGGAAATTTTGGGAACCTCCCGGGGAAACACGGATTTTCTTCCCGAATTTCCTCCTAAGGCAATCACAAATCCTCCGCATTGAGTCGGGCCTCTCCAGGTGGAGATTCGAGACTGCACGCTCCGAAACCCGACCATCCGAAGACTGCGAAACATCCAACTCCAGTTGATCCCGGCGGATACCGTCTTGCCTTCAGCGGAACTTGAGAGACCGCTCCGGTAAAATAACTTATCCAAGTTTACAAACATACCGTCAAAATCGTCCATGGCGGCTTGTTCCGCGTGCATTTGTTATACCGCGCACGTTGCTAAGGACAACAGGGGATGAAAAGGAGAGAGAGGTAGAGCACGACCGGCGCAGCTTCAACCGAGAGAGAGGAGGAGCTCCCAGCCCCACAGTACTTTCGGGAACGCCAGATGGGGAAGAATCGTGGGAGAGCCTCCGTTTAGAAAGCGAGTAAATAAACAGCGACGATGCCTTTTAATTCATGAAGCTAACGGAAACCGATCCTGCGACTTCGATCCACGCGCTTCATTTCTCCACTGAGGGCTAAACAGCTGATTCTTTTCTCCGCCGACCCGCTTCATGGGGAAGGATCTGATTGCCAGGTAGCGGATGATTGGAAATTGATCCCCTTGAACGAACGGGGGCAGCCAATCCTGCGGCATCCGGAGGCGGGATCGATTTAGATTCGAAAATCCGGGCATTAAAACTCTTGCGCTATCACAGTCGTGAGTAGGACCTCATTCTAGCAATGGGATCCGTTCGCACACCACAAGGAGCTCGATCTCCTAGACACGACCTTTCGGAATCATGGACTATCGTTGAGAACCGAGTGCGCCCCTCTCTCGATGGCAGTTCGAGATATTTCTCAGTCAAGCACAAAAAGGACGAGAAGCTTCATCAATGAGCCGTGGAGCTCAGCTCCGAAATGGAGGGAGCGGAATGAAAATGAATTTTTCCGTGGTAAAAGGTTCCAGAATCTTCATTCCCTAGTTTGGCTTTTGACTCGAAATTACATTCGGAGGGCATGAGTTGCTGTATAATCATTGTTACATATATTACACGTGAAACATTCAATCGAAGCATTCCACATCTGGCGTCTGGTCAGGATGAATTTTAGCCGGAAGACTTTTTCAGACTTATAGGGGCTGATGAGACCGTCCCTTTCCGACTCGATTTACGTTTCTGGACCCTGGGAAAGATAATAAGTGGGTTCACGACTTCGTTCTGAGACGCCTATAGCTGTTTAGAGGTCTGGTGAAGAGCTTCTACAACATACATATACAAATGTACTGAACATCCTCTCCCGGAGTGGCACCATCAATGATGAATAATATATATACATCTATATATATATAACTCGCTATCAATCACTCCTCACTGCGGAGATGTTGCAAGATTGGGATAAGCACTTACCATTCTTTCCAGCCGGGGGGCGCCTGCCACCCTGGTGGTGGTTGCCATCCCTCAGGTGGGACCCAACCTTGAGGGGGTAGCCAATGCTTCCCGCTCTCGCTGCCTTCCTCGACTTTCCATTGTTCACCCGTTTGTCCATAGTCACCGCCTAGAACAAATGTGCAATTTGAATGTTTGACCATTTGGATCTCGTCGGGCTGATCCTCGGGAGCCAGGGAACGAAGAATTCATACGAATCCGATAGGGTGCTCGACTCAATTGATGGCTCACAGAGACGCCGTCACAAGACGAGAGACAGCTACGCCATCGTATCATGCCTCGTGTCTTCCTCGATGTTGGTCGGGGGAGTATGCTTTTAAATCTCTCAATTTTCCGACGATTTGGATTAATAATGGGACGTGGGGATCCGCTACGAGGTCAGAACACGAGTCGAGATTAAATATCCTGTTTCTCCCGTATCCGCACAGAGAGCAGGCGTGAGGAGACCGAGCTGTTCGCCCGAAGGAAGCGACAGAATCTCTAAACTCGTTGCAAACAAGAGTCATCCAACCTTGGACCTGACCCGGAAGCTTACCCGTCGAGTGTGTGGCTCCATGATCTCCTTTGGCTTGCCATCCTTTTTCGCTCCAAATTTTATCTCTGTCTTCGGCATTCGCAGGCCATTGATGGTGATGTGCGCTGCCCGAATCCTTCACAGTCGCCTCATACACTTTTCCTGAAATGTCGAGGCGGAGACTTCAATCTTTTTTCCTTCACACAAGAGGCGATCATTTTCTCACCCATCGTCCTTCTCCCGCGATTATTGTCGCCCTCTTCTGATCTCTTGCTGTGTACGGCGATGAGAAATTCACGGTGAAGCGGGTCTGTGTCTCGGGTTAAGCCCAGGGTACCGACAGATGAGCGCAGCTCGTAAAGATTATCGCGCCCGGCGTTCCGGGCGAACAGAAAAGCGTCTTCTAACCACATCTTCTGTAGCTACTCGATACGGGCCAAGGTAAGAGGATGACTGTCTGCCTGTTTTATATCCGCAACTTCCAAAGGGCCCCACGCGTACCTACCCCGAGCGGGACTTTCCTCAGGATTCGAGAACACCATCACCACCTGATTCGACACGGAAAGAGCAAGGCTTCGTCCTTCGAAGAAGCTTCAGCTCCGATATCGTGGAGCGTCCAAAATCCATCCGATCCCACGGATAATAAATAAATAATTACTCTCCTGACGGATTGCCGCCCGTCGGAGTCGGTCGCTCGCATCGTAGGTTTTTCACTCACGAGACCGGCGTTCATTATCGTAATTAGGCTGTCAGCCAAGAGCTCATCCCGGCTGCCTGTCAAGAATGTGATCAGGTTCCTCGGAGGGAGCTTATGAGCTCAAAAATTGTTCTGATGTATGGATGAAGAATTTCCACGTTCCACGAGAAAACACGAATGATCTTTCGCAGCTACAGCAAAGCCCGTTCCGAATGAGCATCGAATGGCAGACAAGTTCCTATATAAATCAAAAGCGCTCCGACTCGTCCTCCATCATTCATCGACTGACTCCTATTGCCGCAGATCAGAGGATGAGAAAGAGGAAGCGAACTGAGAGAGGGAAAAAGTACGGTGAAGACCTGGAACGAACTTGGAGTGACATAAAAAAGGGTTGGGCACTGAGATCTATGACACTAATATGGACAGTGGTCAGCCCAAGCAATCGAGCGGCCAATCTAATAGAGAGATTCTAATCCAATCGGATCCGACGAAATATATCTTCTGGCGAAGTGAGCCGTTGGGATCGCTAGCTCTCTCGGAGCTCAACGTCGTTGCCGTAGTCCCCGTCGTGGTCGTCGTCGTATCATAAACAACTGAGATCCTCCCGGAGGAGGGCCGAAAAAGATAGCCGAGGGAGCAGAAGACCTAAGATTGGTGCATTTCCTCCATCTTTATTGCATCCGGTCCGAGGAACCGAATATGCGGATTTCGTTGTCCTCCCTAATCATGATCAAACGGCAAAGCGGAGGGATCTAGGGGCGCGGACTGAGCGAGAGCGCGATCGAGCAAGTACCTACCCAACCACCATGTCAGCGGACGAAACAGCCGCACACAGCAGACACGACATCTACGAGAGACTGGGATGAGCAGCACGACGTCTGATCCTCACGATATTCCGGGGAGGATAACGTTCCAATTTACGTGTTCTCGCCTCCTATAGCATGGAACGCTCTCTTCTCATTTTCGCTCATTCCCATAAAGCGAAGGGAATCGCGCGGATTCGATCAGATTGGGTTCAGGTATGCGCAAGGTTTCGTCTCATCACCCGCAAGCACGATACTCATCCGTTTGTTTTTTGAGCGGCGGCATCTTTTCAAGCACAGCCTTGGAATGATATGCGAATTTCCCGGGAAATCTTGCCGCATCAGTAGGATAGCTCGATGACATGGATGTGCTCAGATTCTAATCAGGGCCGACGTTTGATTCTCGAGACCCCGGCTCGAATCGAGACGAGCCGAGAGATTTGAAGTTGACTCGGCCACTCGGGTTTTCGTCGCGCCATAAGCGCCGGAGCTCTCTCAAGCTTGCTTGCTTGATTGGCCATATAATATGATGTTATTACTGTGCGCCAGGCCAGGGCCGTCCACGGACAAAAGCTTCAGGACGAGGTAGTAAAGTTGGATGAGCATCTATCTTACTGGAGCGAAACCCTTTCGTTGAGAAGAGGATCTCTTTTTATCTACTGCTACTCAACACGATAAAGACTCCCATCCTCAATCCATCTTCCTATCTCTCTACCGCAGTACTCTCTTAACATCTCTCTCGGTCGTTCGCCCGCTCGCTCGCCCGCGGTGTCAAACGCTAGTGATCTATTTAAAGAGCAGCGTCTAAGTAAATCACCGCAATCCTCCTGAGCTCTCGACACACATCGGGAAATGATATTATTCCCTCCTGATGCCTCGTGAGAAATTCCTCTCTGTCGATAGAATCAGTCGGAGCCGCCCGAATCATTCGCGTCGTTTCGTCATTTTCCGGTCGGAAATTGCTCGGAACGGTCCATCGGTCTGCCAGAATCTCGGACCACTGTGACGCTTCTCGCTATTTTCTGGATCAAATGAAGCGGGGTTCGGGAGCCGTCCACGAGAGAGCCTTTGCTGGGACTGATGGCTCTAGTGGGCTCAAGCGGAATCAATAGATGAAGGATCTAGGGGATTTTCAAGATCACAGAACAAAACAAACGGATCCAAGAACTAACACAGGAAAGACACACTTAGCCGCCAACGGAAAAGCTGAATACACAGATGGAGAGATAGTCAGACCGAGCGAGCCTGGGAAAAATTTGTCACCATCAGCTGTCGGCGGCACGATGACTGGACAAAGTAATCATACACAATCCAACTGTCTGTTATTGTGTTGCTCGCGGGCTCCCCCGAGAAATCGTCGCGGTCAACACCGAGCTCAAAAGTAGGAGTTTTTCTGAGCGGATTGGACACACCGCGTTGCAAAGGATCTCGTCATGGAATTCGAGCCACGTACGCTCTTTGCTCACGTATTGGACTGAGCTACAATGCCAACAAATTGGTGAACAACCAGTCCGATTTCGTTATACGGATGAGCAGTGGTTGTTCTCATTCTGGTTGAACCTTAGAAATATTCTAGAAAATATTATGGCTCCATCTTCCTAAAACTGACTGAGCCCATTCCCCGTTGTCTTCGGAGGAAGTTTTGAATTCCGTCCGAGGATTGAGAGATACTCTCGGAGGCCTCGAAAGGTCCAAGAACGAAAACAGTCGAGTCATCCGGCTCTTCCTCGAGGCTTGAAGATCAGCGGCGAGGACCGGAGGCCAATATGGATCGCGACGGAAACATCCGAGGTCCTCGTTGCATCCGGAACAACGCAACTTTCCAGAGCCCGGTGCGTTTCTGCGAGCGTCGCTCTGACATCTGCATCGCGTCCCGAGTTTGAAAATCTGCAGACACCCATATTTTGAATCAAGCTCAAATGAGCGGCTTCAACAACTCGACAATTAGGCTAATCTGAAAACTTTCCTAATAATAGACGACCTCGCGAGCGGAAACCGCTCTGTGGTGCTTTCGGAAGATGGGGAAGGAAATGAGGGAACAGACCAACAGACGTGAGCGACAAAAGCAGGAAATAACAGCGGGAGGCAAAAGCGAGCAGACCGTCAAAGGGGGAAAAGTTCGTCGATGGATGGGGTAGATTGAGTCAGGGAAAACGGAACGTCGAAGGCAACCAGGTAATACATATTGGACTAACCTTCGCCACCGTAGTATACTTGATCGGTGTGACCGCCTCCTCCGTGCCCACCGCCGCCCTGGTCCCAGCCCTTGTTGGCAGTCACTACGTGATGTTCCGCACCGGAGTCTTCTTTCTTATGAACGTGGATGTGCTTAATGACTTTCACCTCCTTGACCACGGGCACCTCCTTGTAGACTGGGATAGTTTTGTAAACTTTGACGGTTTTATAAACTGGGATCTCCTTAACGACGTGCTTCACTTTGATGACAGGTTTCACCCTGGAATGTCAAACATGGGCTGATTTAGCTGCTCGCTCTCTCTCTCTCTCGTCTCGCCCATTGGAGAATCGACTGATTCGGTTCGATAAATCCGGACACAGATGACACGGATAGAAACGCGCTCTCCGTGATCAACTTTCCTTCCGCAAGCGAAGTTGTTTGAGTATTTATCGTGTGGTAAGACTCGAAGTATGTACGCCGGACTCGGTGTGGTCGGTTGAAGGGTCGGTTTTCTTCGGAGAGTGACATGTCACCGTTTCTGATGAAACTGAGCCTTGGCTGCAGACGTTTGACACTGGGTGTCGGATACCCCTCTGATATCAGGAGAGAGCTTGGACAAAGAAAATACTCGAGCAGCCGCGAACGAACCAAAACCGATGGTTGGAATACGTTGATCGACCAACGCAGCCTCCGCTGAGCCCCACGGGTTGTGCTCACTGATGAGCATCAGCCGTCGGTGCCCTTTACGGCTGCGTATTCGGTTTACTCAAGCAACGGAACCGTGCTTCAGGGAATGACCTAGCGGACAGTTCTCAATTGGAAACTCAGACCGAAACCCTGACAGATAGATAACCGGGAGCTACGGTAGTCGCCAATAGACGCAGCTCTATCGAGTTCGGAAATCTTGGAAAATCTCAATCAGCGCTCCTTTGCGGGACGCTTGGGAAACATTATCGTGGGAACGAGCTGCTTCTTGGATTCCCCGTACCGATTGAGGCGGATAAGTGAGAGTCTACTGTCGCGTGATTCTATATACTTGAGAAATGTTTTCGATTTCGGGATATCGGACGACAGTTGATAAGTACATGAGGTAGCGTACCTGATGATCGTCTTTGTTTTGGTGTGCCAAGGATTATCCCAATCATCGTGTGAGCTATCGTCCCATCCATGGTCGTCGTCAGACCATCGTTTGATGAATCTGGCAAAGATGGTCGCTTCGCTGCTGATCACCAGCACACTCAATGTCCCGAGCAATAATAGGACATTCCTCATCCTGGAATCGAAATCGGCAATATCTCGCTAGATTTTGACTCACCAGAGCTCGTCACCGCAAATTGGAGCTATGCAAGATAAACTATGCTTATAATGTAGGCAATGATTATAATCATGGATGATAATTATCATTCCCATTCCATGTGGATGGAGAAGACGCGGGATACCGGATTAATCCGCGTCATATCTGGAGAAAGGCTCGGGTATCGTTCCCGACCCTGCAATCGGAGGCCCAGAATCATCGTTGGACCCACTTTCGACAGTCGTCTGTCTCGTCCACGGTCGTACCGAATACTGAAGCTGTGAAGTCGAGGCAAGAACTCCAGCTCGATGACTGGCTCAAGCGGAAACGACGCACAAGGACAGGGTAGAAGAGAGCACGCGAATGCTCCGTGTCATGCGACGTCAGCAGGAGTCGTTGGAGATTTATTGTTTCGTCCACAGGGACCTACTGCGTAAACGAGACGTCCGGCGAAAACAGTAAGTGCAGCAACAATGTATGCTGAACGAATGGAGAAACGAATGAATGAAAGCGCATGGCAGCGAACTTGCAGCGAACGAGGGCGCTGCGAGACGGCGGCAACGACAATGTCACCT